CAGGTATGTGTGCGTATATGCGCAGGCAGTGGAATGCGGAGCAGGTAGGTAATCTGTAGTAAGTAAGCTCGCACATGCTAGATAGTGCAGGGGGCTTGCTTATGCTGTTTTCCCGTTATCGCTGGTGTAATGGAACTACGGATCATGAGAGAGCGCCTGTATAGTACGTAAACACGGAAACACGGAGACACAGATACGCACACATACTACCTCCATACGGCACTACGATATTATCACCGTCATTTATGAGAAGGCTGTGATACCACGGTAACCCCCCCTTTTCCCTCTCGCCAGCAAGCACAGGTAGCACGAGTGCATATTCACGACATTGAGTCAACCGAACTTTGCGATCACGAAGTCGAGTGCATAGCTTAATCTAAGTATATTGATCAGGAAGAGGCAATGCATGAACGGAACCAGCCGTGTTCTCGCTGTTGCTTTGACCATGTTGCCGGGACAGTCGGCGAGAGATCTCGTGTGTGTGCAGGGGGTAGGACTGGAGGAAGAGGCTGGACGGGCGATGATACCCGCACGAAGCGTTGCTTTGGCTCAAGAAGAGGCTTAAAGACTGCGGATTCCAGGATGGAGAGCATTGAAGGCAACTCGGATGTAAGCAGACGGGAGGTACCGATGCAGAGACACGCCTCCTAGAGCGGGTACCTGGGTACCTCTGAAGTAAGATAGCGATGTCGCGATGTAGCGATGTACATTTTGTGTAGGTAAATTACTCACGGGACGTAGGTGCAGAATTCAGCTCAATTCTCGCGTCGAGAGCCGCCGGGCCCCAAATTAGCCCACGTTGCGCGGCCGGCAATCCGGGCAAAATCAAAAATAGAACGAGGGTAGCTAATTAATGTTGGCCGAAGTCCGACTCCGACGGCGATAGCGTTAAGCGCCCTGGTGTGCAGTTTGCATGCGTGAGCACCGGCCTAAGATTTAGCCCATAATTAGTCGCGCTGACGATCCCCGGACGACGAAAAAGTGGGATAAGAATAGATTGACCCAACCAAATTAGCCCTCAATAGGGTCATTGCCGGGTGATCCCCCAAATAGCCGGACTAGTCAGCTTCCGGCTCGCGGGGGCGCATGGGCCACGGCTGCGACGCACCGACCACCCAGCGCAGATCGATAATGCGGTTTGGTACCTGTTGGCATCGACACGCGGTACCGCGGTCGGTACATGGCTCATATAGCAAATGCTACCTGTTGTAGATATCCGCGACCCATGGGAATCGACGGACGGGACGGGGCTTACCTGCGGTTGAAGTCGCAATATAATTCTGCACCAGCCGGGCGCACAGCCGCAGGCACCTAATGGTGCTCTCACAGCCAACGTACATGAGCAAAGGGGCCCGTACGTAGGTACCTACAGGTAGCTACATATGAGTAATTATATACCAGAGTCTAGCGGAGGAGTGCGCGCGTGCGTGCCACGACGACGGCCACGACGGCCCCTATAGCCTAGTACCTACCTCCTCCTTCTACCTACCTGGTACCTAGTTGGTAGACAATTAAGTACCTCTTTCCGTAGGTATCTACCTACCTACCTAAGGTAGGTAGCTGAGCTAGAGGCACTAAGCTATAAGCGATGTCACATAATCTCCTGACCTGTATATACCGGTATATGCCTCCTACAGGCATGGGGATAATACGTACCAACAGTACTCCCGTACGTGCCCACGATAACCGTGCCTAACACCCATGATGATAATAGTACATAATGATAATAATAATAACACCAACAACTTCCCGAGGGTCACGGGAAAGCCCTCGTACCAGGGCTGGCGGGCTACGCCGCACCTCTCACCTGCTCTGTATGTACATAATTGTTCTCTGTGCGACCTGGGTGCCGTGTCTGGGCATGCCGGGATCCGTGAGATTTTGCATGCGGACCCCACCTGGCCCGCCAGACCCGCCAGTACCCGCCAGTACCGAGTACCCGCCTCACCTGGCGGGCAGCTCGACTCCAGTGCTTCCATACATCCTACGGACAGCGATCCTACCGCACAACGCTGGGGACTAGTAGCTACTGAACACACGTCCCCCAGGCGAGAGCTGCCTGCCAGGCACTACTACCTGACCTCTATATCCATCGCTACCCAACACGGCGGCGCAGGCGGCAGACCATAGGCAGCGGCGGCTCTGGTGCCATAAGAGTTACCTAACACGCCTGCGCCGGCGGCGGACGGCACTGGCAACCTGACGCCCCTACATTCTCTCTCTCCTACGTGCCTACAGGTTATGTGTGTTGCGCGTCGAGGGGAGTACATGTCCGCCCCGGCGTTTACTGCCTGTGAAGCCACATAGGTACTACCTCCTCGTAAGTTGGGTAGGTTAGGTACCTACGTATAAATGTATATCCCCTGGGTGCGTACCTAGGCGGGTATCACATCAAGTAGAAGTAGGTACGCAACGTACCTGGAAGGGTAGGCAGGTTAGGGGCAGGTTAGGTACCTCCTGCACGACGTAAAGGAGGTTGCCGTATGTAGGCAGGTACATGCCTATGTACATAAGTAGGTACGTAGACCCATGGACCCTGCCAGGCCAATCAGAGCCGCAGGCCCCACCAGGACCCATGGCAGGCACTAATGACGCTAGTGGGAACTTCCCGCTCTGCACGAGGATTGGTTGGCAACCCGCCCTCCGTCATAACCTAATCCCGGGCAGCCAGGGTGGTAGCTTCCGGGCTCGAGCCAATCCGCGGGCTGAACCCCTACTTTATCACATCGACTAGACGTCCCGGCTAAGCCTACCCACTGGCGCCAACCCTCGTCCAGCCTCGAATCAACCCCCCCCTCTACACCCATCCGCTACCGCCCCCTCCCATCCTCTCCTCCTCTCCTCTCCCACCCCCAGGCTCGCCCAACAAGACCTCTATTGCCAGTCAGCCCGAACTCTCGGCCGTGATTGGCTTCCGCGCCCAGAACGCCATATTCCTCTTCCCAGCGGCCCAGCGAGTGAGGGCAGACGGCACGGTAGATTGCAATCAAACCGAGACTAAAACATGCCATCGCTTCTCGGCTACGGGCAGGATTCTTACCACCTACACACGCACCGCAGCTCTGTAGGTACACTACGCACTACGTAACCCAGCTGGAGTCGGCCCCCGTCCCTCCTCTGGCCCCGTCCTCGCCCTTCTGTCGTAGTCGAGCTACCCAAGCGGCTGGACCTGGCAGCCCTGGGTAGGCCCTGGTGGGCGGATGGCGACTGGTCTGTACGGGCGGCCAATCTCGTGCTCTCGCCCGCCAGCCCGACGCCCATTGGCGCACAGGGATCGCTCCCTAATGGACGCTTAGGAGTTAGAGTTATTATGCGGCATGGGGTGCTGCCGAATCATGCCTCTACTTCCTTCGCCTCTCGGGCGGGAGGCAAGCTAGTTAACCTAGGTAGCAGCACAGAAAGCTGGGGGAGAAGGGCGAGCGGGCTCCGAGCCTCGCCAGATTCGTAAAGCTCGCAAAATTCGACCTCGTTTGGGAGCGATGGACGGCCTGCGAATCTGGTCCCTCTCTCTCCACCCTGCGATATGTTAGCCCGATGCGGCAACGGCCTGTTCGACTCGACTTAGGCACTACGTAGTATGCGGACGAATTTGGCTTCTCGAGATGCAACTCGACGCCAGAGCCAATCTATGATTATCGGTCAGCCCATGCAGAGTAACCACACCGTCCGTGCCGTACATGGGCGATGCGAGGGAAGCAGTCGGCAAGCTGTCATGGCTCCTTGCATGCGTGCGTGCTGCTTTTTTGGCCCTCGAGTACGGCGACTTCGCGAGAACGTGGAGTTTGTCCCCGTCACTCGTGGCTCTCTCTCGGGCAACGCGGCATCGACGGGCAGAGTCGATACGACAGGAGAAGAAGGAAGAGGACGGAGGAGAAGATACCTGCCTGTAGCGTGGCCAGGCTAAGACATGCTCCAACCGTCTCGTCTCCTCGCCTGCGGTCTCGCTTGTGCCGTGGAAGACTAGGCCGAAGAGAGGGGAGACGGCGATAGGATAGCATAGCACCCCCGAAGGAGGATAGCCTCTGGTACGGGGGTAGCACAGCAGGCACCTCTCTCTCTCCCTACCTCTCTCTCGCTCACGCACCTTTTCCCTTCCCCTCCGATAGACGCTAATAAATCCTTGCGGCTTTTCAATAAACTCGACCCCCCCCCGTCCGCAGGGCTTGCTTGTTGCAGGGACGAATACAGGGCTGGCAGGGTCACACAGGCTCGCAGTGGGAATACCTGCAAGTGCTGGCGGTGGTTGACAAGACCCCCATGTCGCTCTGGATGCAAGGTTCATCACGGTGGACCGGACTTTCAACTGGTCGTGCCAACGACTGGCAGGCCACGTATAGGAACTGCCTCTTTTAGTCGCACCCTGCTGGAAGATCCCTGCCTATGCTCGCAGCCACCGTCTTCCGCGAGTGTGACCGAGTGGTACAATGCCCTTGTATTGCCCTCGCTCGGGTGGGGTGGTTGGTCCAGGTGGCCGACAGGATGCCCACCATCATCCGAGTGACCAGGCCAATGTCCATCGAGCCAACGGCTCTCATTGGCATCCGCAAGCGCACTCCGGCTCAAGTCACCACCCACGATGCAAACTCGGGCTAATTTGCACATGCAGCGGCCAGCAATTAGGCCACAAAGATGATGGGCTAAAGATGGGATTATCCCAAATTGCGCGTGTTGCTATTTTTGAACACAGCCGTCGACGCTACGCTACGTAGTACACCAAGTCGCGATGCAGCTAAGTCGAGCACGAGGCCATGATATAAGTCTTCATCACACCTCCAGATTCCCAAGCTGCATTCTTCAGGATAGAGTCGTCAAAGGGTAGAAGATCTGAGTGTCGTTCCCGCTTCTCCAACTAGATTCCTCTCTCCCCCTTCTCTCCTCTTCTCATATCCCGCCAAACCCGACTAACGTGAAAGGCAAGCTGGTACTTGCTCGGATCATACCATTCATTTGACGAGAATAATAATACTAATTTTGACGAAATTCGAGATTTCCGTCTCCACCCTGCCGATAATTACTCACCAGGCACGAGAACTCGAGATTGGCGAATTTACTGGCTTTGAGGTGTTACTCTCTGGACAGACCCCAGCAACAACGGCTTTGACCTAGACCTTGGCCCCCCCCCCCCCCCCTCCCTGGTTCCTTGGTCTCCTCCCGAGCATAGACACCCCCCCCCCACCACCACCACCATCTCGACGCAGGTACCTCGACTCGAGCATAAGATACAAATGGCATCTCTACCCCCCAACACCCAGGAAGACCTCATGAGAGCATCAACCGTCAACATGGCCGTCGCACAACCTACCAAGTCGAAGGCTGCTTCGAAGCAAGCTAACAACAATGCGAACACGAAAGCAAAGACACAGATGCACCGCCGTTCAAGAACAGGTTGGTGCTCCCTCCCAACCTACTGGCTTACACGAGCCACTTACACGGGACCGTCGGCCACCCCCCCTCCTCCCCCCGGTACGTGTAAGTCGACAGAGAATTTTATACTAACGTGAGATCTCCTCCCCAGGTTGCTACACCTGCAGATTGCGACGGAAGAAGTGCGATGAGGGCACTCCCATGTGCACGGCATGCAAGCACCTCGGTCTGGTTTGCGAATACAAGCGGCCAATGTGGTGGAGCAACAACGACGCGAGACGACAACACAAGGACGACATCAAGATGATCATTAAGCGCAAGAAGCTCTCGGAGAAGGCGTCGCACTCGATCCAGACCTCGGTCAGCTCGCCTCCCAGCCTCTCGCACTCTCTACCTACCTCGGCAACCTTCACGGATCCCCTCGACCGCACCAGGTCGGCGTCCATCGACTCGCACTTCAACTTCAACAGCCCGCCCCACGTTTCCGAGTATGGAGCTTACAACCCGCACATCCTGCCGTCTCACGCCGATTTCATGTTCAACATGTCTCCCTACGAGATCGACGTCAAGACTGAGCGCCAGATGTTTGTCAATGACGTCCCGACTCTGCGGGAATCGACTGTTTCCACCTTTAGCACGTACCATACGCCGCCTCCACCCGGGTCCGTTCTGTCGTCCTATCCTATGGACGGCGGCGAGTGGCCTGAGGAGTTGTGCCACGCATCGCTGACCGAGGAGGCGCTCAACTACCGTTTCTTCGACTTCTCTAACGGCCTCGCTACCAACACCAGCCAAGTGGACATCGAGCTGGAGGAGAGCGATCAGCGACTGCTGGACCACTTCATCCGATTCGTGCTGCCCACCATCTTCCCGATCCTGGAAACCAACCAGCACGGATCCGTTGGCTCGGACCTGATCCTGCCGGCTCTGCAGAACAACAAGGGCTACCTCCACTGCTGCCTCATGATCGCCGCGCAACATTTGAAGGCGGCGACGAACAGCCAGGGCGAGGAAATCGACAACGACATCATGCGAAACCGGCATGCCACCATCCTGGCCCTCTGCGAGGCGCTGAACGAAGACGAAAATCACCACCAGATCCTCGAGGCGACCCTAGGCCTCATCTTCTTCCAGAGCTGCGTCGGCCGCTACGACGATTCGCTCCCCGACATTCCGTGGCACCAGCATTTCCAGGCGGTGCAGTCCCTGGTCGAAAAACTGGATCTGCCCCGACTCGTCTCCGACGAAGCCGAGCCGCTCCCGCAGACGCCCTTCAACATGACGCTGACCGCGTGGATCGACATCCTTGGCGCCACCATGCAGGGCCGTGCGCCGAGCTTTGCGCACGCGTACCGCGAGAAGCACCTGTCGACCACGAATCCGTCCCTGGGGCTCCGGGAGCTGATGGGCTGCGACGACCACGTCATGTACCTCATTTCCGAAATCGCCTGCCTCGAGGCGCTTAAGAAGGAAGGAATGGATGACATCACCCTGTGCCAGCATGTGCATTCGCTTGGCGGCCAGATTGGGCTGACAGAGACACACGACTGCGGGCCCAAGATGCCATTCAACGCCAACGGATCTCTGAGCCCGAAGCAGCTCAGCAAGAACATCACGAGCGCCTTCCGATTGGCCGCCCGCATCTACCTCTGCAGCTTGGTGCCTGGTTTCTCCCCCAGCCAGGACAGCTGCGTTGGCCTGGTGGAGAAGCTCACCACGGTGCTGCACTTCATCCCCTCCGGCCCTGGCGGCTTCGACCGAAGTCTCGCCTGGGTCTACCTGATTGGCGGGTCCGTCAGCGGCATGAACTCGAGCTTCAGGCAATTCTTCCACGAGCGCATCGCCCAGCTTGGCGACGCCGCGAGCTACGGCAGCTTCGGCGGGGTCGTCACCCTCCTGCACGAAGTCTGGCAGCAGGCCGACAACAGCCAGCCGAGCCCCAGTGCAAACGGGTCTACGGAGGCCCCCTACGTCTCCTGGAGAGATGTCATGCAGATGAGGGGATGGGACTACCTACTGATCTAGGATCTCCCTCACAAGCTGGTCTCGAGGGGGCGGTCTAGTCTCCTCATCTGCGGGTGGGCCTCCGGTAGTGATGCCGGAAATCATCATCCCGTTTGCACGACGGTTACGATTCGATTCTTTTTATTTTATTTTCTATTACGATACCACTTCACGTGAAAATTTACCATAATATACCCCGATAGAGAGAGGGGTGGCCGCAAGGCAACCGAAACGACACTTGGAACTAGGTGGAGGAAACGGGGTTGGTTTGGATATATATATATATCATATCATTGTGAGCAGCCGGAAGGAGGGGATTGGGGCGCCACGATTGGGAGGAAATATGAACCACGCCATGGCTTTATGAGGATACGACGACTTTTCTTTTACTCCGTTTCTCTCTCTCTCTCTCTCTACTCATTATCGATATCCCTATCGTCGGATCGTTTATATATATACCATGCATACATTGGGCCGGGGCAGAGGGGAGTTCTGGGCAGTCTCGACGATGCATTCGCGAGGTTTGGGTTCAGCATCGGTTCAGGATAAGAAGGGTCAAGCATTCGCACGACTTTTTTCTCGCGCGCCCCTGGAGGCTTTACAAAGACGGGTTCATTTTTAGGGTGCACCGATATTGATTGCACCCGCCTCTCTGGGCTCTCGGGGACACCAATCCCCAAGAGCGTCAAGTAGCTACTACCGTAATTACAGAATACCGAAAGAAATATGAAACTGAATATTCAAAACAATGATAGGAAAGTGGTTGACTCTCTCACTCGTTTCTTGACAGCGAATTTTGCGTGATAGTAGGTAGCTATAGGTCCAGGTGGATAGAGAGACATCTGGCACCCGTTAAACCAGGTTGTGAACTAATTAGTTGCCATACAAAGATGGACAAGTGGAAATTAGCCCCAACGCACAAGGGCCGCACCAGCTAATTAGCATCACTACAGTCGTTTGTTTTTATTGTATTCACTTGTATTTCTTTACGTCCTTTTTTCCCCCTTCCTTTTTTTTTTAAAAAAAGGATATCTTTTCTTTCTTTGGATCTGCAGACAATTAATCCGCGGGTGTTATTGCCGTTCGTCGTCCATTCACCCGCTTACACATAGCACCCAGCCATGCGTACATGGTGGCAATGCAGTTACCTACCTGGTATAGCAGGGCGGGCGCAGCGCCATCAGATAGACAAGATTGCCTGAGGGCGAAACAAGTGCGAAAACAGCACAGCCCGAAGCTCCCCGGATCGGGGAACACGGACCCTGGGTTGCCTCTAAGAGGGGAAGGGAGGGTAACGAGAAAAAAAAAAGACGACAAGATAAGACGAGACAATATGGCACCACCCCGACGCACGCATGCGCGCATACGAATTTTTTCGGGCAGCAAAAACCAAACCAAAAAAAAAAAAAAAAAGGCGCGGAGCGGTGAAGAAGGAAGGGAGAGAGGGGGGAGGAGGAGAGGAGGAGGAGGCGGGAAGAGGAAGGCGTTTTCTTGGGGAGGGGGGAGAGGGGGGGGAAGGGGATCTCGTGATGCGAGCGGTGGGATAGACTTGGACTTACACGACGTCTGGGGACGGGATCCAGGTTGTTGCGGGTGCATAGTCCCAGGCCGCGGGCAGCTTGGTGGCCCAACGGGGACGACAACAGCGAGGAGGGTATGGACGGGCGTATGCACATAGCGTAGCAGAGGAGAGGGAGGAGGGAGGTAGGGAGGTAGGTATTTTCCTTGCAAGCCTGCTTTCCACCACTCACTTTACCCTCTCACTCACTCTCGCTTTCTCCCTCTCTCTCCGGCGGGCTGTCCGCGCCGCTCACCACGCGATGCGGTCTCGCCCCCGCCGCCTACGCACGAGCGAGCGAGCGAGGGGGAGGCATACTGCTCGCAGATATAGCATGCATATATCTGCCTACTTCTGCTGGAAAGCGGTGCCTACCTGGTAAGTACAATGCATATGCGCATGCGCGTGTGCGCGTATATGTGTGTGTATGCGTGTAGGAGGTGTGTGCGGATGCAAGTGTGTGCAGACAACGTCCGGGATAACCCCCTTAAGTGCCTACCTACCTAGGTACCTACCTGCAAAGGCCACCTAACCTACAGGTACCTAACCTACCTACATGCCTCTATAAGGGAGGTAAATTACGGGGACGAACTCCCCCTGTCCGACTTGACTCGTCAGCTGCTTGCTCAGTTTTTGAGCTGCGGGGCGGGCCAGCGAGGAGCGGAAAAGAAGGTGTGAGCGTTTTCTTCTTCTGCTTCTTCTCTTCCCAGCCCTCTTCCTTGGTATCGTCTCTCGGATCGACAGAACGAGGAAGGGAAACCGGTCTGGGGCGCGAACGTGGCGGCCCGCCTCGCAGGCTTTAGCTGTGGTAACCTTGCCTAGGTGCCCCTCGCGACGGCGGCCGGCCGGACTGGAGGAGGCTATCTTGGTACCTAATCTGCAGAGGTCAGCGGGTACGACGCCAGTAACGCAGGTAAGCAAGTGGCGGACCTCGGCGAGGTAGGTAAGTAAGGTAAAGTAGGTACATTACTAGGCACAAGCTTACAGCTACGGGGACCCGCGAGCATCTTCTCCTATCAGCGGGTCGGCTTCCTTACTAGTCCGCCTCCGCCAGAAAGAATTGGATAAAAAAATTAACATACCTCAAGAGAGCGTGTGAATAACCGGTAACGACTAGGTGATATGTCAGGGAGGACCGGGCGGAATAGTAGGTACCTAGGTAGGCAGCATGATGTACGCAGTATGTGCGTATACGGCATCACCACACCGACTCGGAGCTATGCACATTTACCACGGACGTTACCTACCTGTAGCAGGCAACTATAGACATCCTCAGGTACCTGTGTATGCACATCCCACCGATAACCCGTCCATGTCGATGGAATCCCGCCGGCGTTCCGCTCAAGATTATCAAGCCAGATTGCACCCAACGTGTGGGTTCCCATTACTACCTACCTGGGCACATCGCACACACCTACAGAAAATTCCATCCGTTCCTCTCCTTCTCTCCCTTTCCTCTCCTCTCCCCTCTCTCTCTCTCTCTCTCTCCTCATCCACTCAGCTGCATGTGACAATGCATCTCTCTTGAGACCGGGTTCTGTGCCTAGGCATCCGCCGCGGCGGCCCCCCTCGCGCGAGGGTGGGTAACAGTAGCATCCTGCTTCTCTTCGCCTTCTTCGCCTTTTCCCCCTTCGCCTTTTCCGCCACACGCCTCGGCCTGCCCTGGGCGTATAGTGCGTGCCTTCAGCTGCGGGCCAGGTAGGGGTTGCGCGACGAGGGGGCCGGCTTGGCTGGGTTGGGGGTGTTGGCGTTGTTGAGCCCCCCGGCCATCGAGAATTCCGGTCGGCGTTGCGCTTCCCTCCCTGCCTCCCCCCGTCGGCCATGACGTAGGGCACAGCTGCGCAGGTCAATTGACCCCGTCGGACGATGGCAAGTTGCCGTCCTGCTATCGTCTACTATAGACCTAACCTACCTACCCTTGGCAAGCTGAACGGCCCCCTTCTGCCACTTCATGAAACCTGCAAAGCCACCACCACCGCAACAGCAACGCTACCGCGTACGAACCTGCTTTCGTCGTCTTCGAGACCACGCGCCGTATTTCGACAACCGGACACACAAAACATCTCAAGCGATGACAGCGTGTCCCCACCGGCAGGATTCTGTCATTTCAGCAGAGGAGGAGGCGGTGACGGGTCACTTCTCGCTGTTCCCCGCCCGCAAGCAGAGAATCTCGGGTGCTGCATAGCATAGAGGCGGTCTGCGCCTGACAGCCTGTTTGAAAGCCCAACAACGCCCCGTCTCCCAGGGCCCTTGCTTCCGGCTGCCTCAAATCTCGCAAAGCGCTGTCGTGCAGCGCGGACGGGCGCCCTCGTGAGGATCGTCACTACATACTTGAGAATCCCTACTACAACAAACGCGGCGCCGTCACGAGCCTGGCCCATACGAGCCATGTCATCGAACCCACCTACATACGTACGCACGTACCTACTTACGACGGATCCGATAAACCGTGTCGCAGGCGCGAGAGCACGCGTCGTGACCGAGGCCCTAGTCGGATGCAGGGGAAAGGCGAGTCGGGACCATCTTGTTCGACTTGACGGGGACGTGCCTCTATTGGCACGGCGGAGTCGTCGCCGCCCTGCCCTCAACAATAGCGGAGTACGCTCGCTCCGCTCTGGCGCTAGGCTGGCGTCAGGAATTATTCAGCGCGCTCCACGCTCGGTCCCGCTGTGATCTAGTACCTGACGACGTCGACGTCACTTCGTCGGACTCGACGAGCTCACGAGCGCTTGTGCTCGCCCCCCCCCCCGCCCCGATCGGCGAGACGAACACGGGGCATTTATTGCGTAGAACGCGCCGTCGCGTCGTGGTTTAGTGTGGTGGCGTAGCCGGAAGTCCTGCTTGCGATAACCTGTCCAAAGAGGGTGGCTGGGCCCGAGCCGCTCATGCTCGCTAGCGGAACGAGGCGGTAGCGGCTCGGCCCAGCGTGGTCCTCGGTACTGAGCGAGGCCTCCGGCGTGCCGTACGGGCGGCTGAGCGTCCACAAACCGGCGCCGGAGGCCGTCGAGAAGGCGCTAGGCCGCGTACGGGCGCGGTTGGCGCAGGGTGTAACGGCGGCGGCGGCCCACACGCACGATCTCAGGGCCGTACAGGTGGTCGGCATGTGCACCACGTGCATACGTCTGCTGATGAGCGGACGACGCGGGCGCAGTTGAGGCGGAGGATGACGCGCGTTTCCCGGCAGGGACGGCAATGCAGAGTCTGCCGTTGGCCGTCGCGACCTCGAGATCGGGCCTCGTTTGCGGGTAGGGAGAGAGTCCACGGGGGACGGACGACGATTCGATTAGCTACAGATAGACAATGCCCCATATTCAGACGCAATACCAACGTATTGCTCGCACCAACATACATACGTACATTCCTACCAACGCAACTACCTACCTACCGACTACCAACAGCAACCCTGCATGGCCATGTGACTAGCTAGGCGGAATGGTCGAGCTGGAGGGCCTGCAGGATGGGTATCGAGGCGGCATGACGCTGCGATATGTCGTGCATACGAAAAGAAGGAGCCGCCCTAAGAAGGGGAGAGGAGGCCTCCTCGATGCGAGCAGACGGGTGCAGGCTCTGCCCTGCAGAAGACCTGCCCGTGCCGCGCAGGCAATAGGAGGACGGCTCATCAACGCGGCGCATAAACGAGCAGGATTTCGCGGCGCGTACAAGGTCGTCGCGACGAAGGAGGTAGGCGGCGGCTCGCGCCCGGGGGAGGCTGTGCTGTCTCGGCTACGTCGATGAGTTAGGTCGATCCCTATAGGTACCTACCTTACATACCGAGGTAGGACGAGGTGAGGGGAGGTGAGGTAGATTGGGTAGATGCCGCGTGTAGCCTTCGTTATCCGAGTGCGATCCGGGCGCGATCAAGACCCAACAATGTTCAGGGGCAGGTGGTATAGAGGGGGCTTACCCCTATTATACCCAAGCTCCCAAGGCTTGAGGCGAAGTGAGGCACCTAGAGGCACCTGGTTAGGTACCGATCTTGGATAACACCCTACCTGGACCCTGGCTGAGGCATGTACTTTGTATCTTGCCATAATTTGCCCGTCGGCGAGGTCGATTGGCCATAGCTCCTTTTCGCGCCAAGACCAAGCAGCGACCCCACTGCGCTTAACGCACGGGCCGCTGAAGATATCGGTACGTGGGTACTAAGCAGGTACCTGCCTATAGGAGGCTCTCTCGGTCGGGCGCCAGATTGGGAAACGCCCAGCAGAAATTCAATTGGGCGCGGTCAACAGGTAGGTACTACTAGGTACCTAGGTAAAGCCTCTACCCCGCTCTACCCCCCCTCCCTCTAGCAAGCCAATCGCCGACGCCCGACCGCACCTATCGCGCTTAATCTGAAGGGCAAAGAGAGCCAATCAGCCGGGCTTCCTGCCCTCTCTGGCGCCCTCGTTGCGACAAGCTGGGCGCCAGATCCCGCCCTCGCTCGCCATTCCATTCCACCCCAGCGGCTAACCGCCCGCCAGCTGGGCAGCCGACCAGAGACGACAGCGCTGCTACACCTGGACGAGCGGGCCTAGCTTGGGCGATTCGCCGCTCCAGAGCCTCTCGTTCCGCCGACGCCCGCGCCGTCCTCGACCCCCCCCCGCCTCGAGACAGCTATCCCAGGCCCAGATCACCTCACAACCAGCCGGCCGCGACGCGACCGCCCGGCGGTGCTACGCTGCCCAGTCGAGCCCCTCCCATCTCTCCCGTCCTCTCCCTGCCTAGCCTGTCGCTCGCGCTCCCCTGTTCTATTTTCTTTCTTTTTCTCCTTCTACCGCTGCCCATCCTCGTCGAGATGAAGATATCCAGTCGAAGGCGCGCTGGTGGCTGTTCTCGTTCTCGTGCTTTGTCTGGGCGCGGGCGCGGGCGCGAGGTGGGGGAGGGGGGCGGGGACGTCTTCTTCGCGACCCCCTCGATCGGACGGCGTTCGTTGGACCTGAGCTGCTGCTGGCAGGCTCCGCGTCGCCTGGGCTCGGGCGATGGCGCGCGATTGCTTGCTTGCCTGCTTCTTTGCTGGGTTGCGGGCTGCTGCTTGTCCTGCGGCGAGCCAAAGGACGGAAGGGCAGCGAACAATGACGCGCGAACAAAAGTGGACACAAAGGCGTCGACCGAGAGGACATAGGCGTGGTTCACACGCGGTCGATCTAATTTTTGCTGGCCTTGTCACGATTGTCCCGTCGGCTCGTCCTCTGTAAAGAACCCCCCTTGCCCGCCCTTTCAGGGTCGTCGACTTGACATCGAACCATCATCATTGTCTCTGTCTTCGTCTCTTGTTTGGCTGTTATTTCTAAGTCACCGCGCCTCCGCCCCAAAGATGGACCTCCCCCCCTTCTGACTGACTGGCCGACTGACTGACCGACCGATTCCTGGTGAATGAACGGTATTTGACTCGATGGCCGCTTTCCATTCTACCACTCTCTAGACTGTCTATTCGCTCTTCTCATTTTTTTCTCTCTCTGTGCTCCCTTTCCCGATAGAATCGTGTCGACGCCATCTCCAACTCGCCGATACAGCAAAACGTTTCCGAACAACTTACCTTACACCAAGATCTACATCTCATCTTACTTTGTCATGCCGAATCTCCGGGGCCCCCTGCGGGCGCTGCAGCTTGCGGCCCTACTCGCGACGATAGCCTCGGCCGCCCGCGTCCGCCCGAGCCACATATTCGAGCGCGCCGACGGCGACAACGGGACCTGCGCCGCCGACTTCGCGAAGTGTTCGGAGGCCGGCCTCCCGGACGACTTCTGCTGCCCCCAGGGGTCGTCATGCATAGCCCTCGCCGCTAACACCACCATCCTGTGCTGCCCCGAAGGCAACACCTGCAAGGTCATCTCCGCCATCACCTGCAACCTCTCGCTCCAGGACCCGGCCGCGAACCCCGAGGCCGAGATCAAGACGACCGTGCTCGACGGCAAGCTCGAGACCTGCGGCAGCGGGTGCTGCCCCTTCGGCTACCGCTGCAACGGCAAGGACTGCGTCATGGAGGACGACCAGAGCAAGCCGCCCGCGGCCCCTAGCCCTTCGCCGACGGGCGCACCGACCCCGTCGCCATCCCCCCCGCCGGCCTCGGAGCAGTCGACGACGATACAGGTCGTGGACGGGACCTCGACGCCAGCACCTGTGACGGACGCGCCCGCCTCGGGCTCCTCGAGCAACACCGTGGCGATCATCGGCGGCGTGGTGGGTGGCCTCGCGGCGCTCATGCTAGCCGTCGCGGCCCTCTTCTTCTGCCGGGTGCGGCGGCGGAAGCGGGCCGAGGGCAAGGGGGAGCGGCACCGGCGGGAGTCGTCGACGTCGTCGTTCGGCAACATCATCAGCGCGCCGGTGCCGCACGCCAACTACCCGAGCCAGCGGCTCGACTTCCTGGCCAAGGCGCAGGAGAACAAGGCGCCGGCGACGCCGCCGCGCAGCGGGGCGTCGTCGCCGACGGCGGTGGCCGCGTCGTCCCCACCTTCTCCGAGCCGCTCGCGCCGCCAACCACCGCCGATGCACGAGAACCCCTTCTCGCCGTCCTTCGCGTCCTTCCTCGGCAGCGGCGGCGGCGGCGACGACGCAGCGACCCGCCGCCCCGACACCGCCGACACGACCGCGCGCAGCCACCACGCGTCCGCCGAGATCACGGGCCTGCGCAGCCTGACGCACGGCAGCCCGCAGCAGCAGCGGCCGCGCGCGCCCGCGCGCCAGGACAGCGGCGGCAGCCAGAACATCGACGTCTTCGCCGACCCGTTCACGGTCGCCGGCGCCGGCAGAGGGTTCCTGGACGTCCCCGGCGCCGCCACCGACCGCAACAGCTCGGCGACGACCTGGTCCGGCATCCAGCACCGCGCGGACCAGCCGCGGACGCGCGCGCCGGGCCCTTCGCGGATGCGGTGGGGGTGAGGAGAGCCCCCGGGAGGGGGGGGGGGGGGGGTTAGGTAGAGACAGATAGCGGGGGAGGATGATACGGCAGGGTGCGATAGTATGCGTGCTAACTAATGCGGATGGGACGGGACGGGACGCACCGCGGAGGAGGATGGGCGGGAGCGCGAATAGAAAGAGCGAGAAACAAAAAGCTGTCGATTTGTAGCGTTCGCATGAGCAGGCGTTCTTCTGACTTTCAGATGGGGAGTGTTTTTTTTTTCTTGGGGTTTTCATGTTTTCTCTTTCGCCTCTCCGTTGCAGCGCCGCGTTTGGGACCCAGCGAACCGTTGTCTACCTACTAATTGTTTTTCCTTTCTGCGTTCTCTTTTCGATCCCCCCCCTCTCCCCTGGCTCCGGGGGTCCGGCTCTCGTGCTCATATACCCCCTCCTTTTTCTTTCTTTGTCTTTTTTTTTCTTCTTGATTTCCTGGCCCGGCGCGGATATCAACGCATAGCCGCGTGCTCGCACATACCCTATACCTATATATATATACCCCCCCCCTCCGCTCTTTAATGAACAGGAAGCAGGCGATGGAGACGCGATGGATGGGAGGCGAGGACCGCTCTTATGATACCACTACTACCTACGTCGAGCTACTTAGCTAGCCAGGCCGCGCGGCGGGATGCGCGGGGGCAGAGAGAATATTGATACATTCGCGCTTCTTCTACCTATTTTTTTTTCTTTCTCCTTCTTCGTTTCCTCGTCGCTTTTCCTCTAAGGCTGACTCGGGCGCCTCTTGCTCCTTCTTTTCCTTTTGCTCTTCTTCTTTACGGCTGCTACGATGACCATGACGATACGACGACGACGACACGATGCGATAGGGGGGAGGGAGCGAATCGTGCTTCGCGCGGGTGCTGCGGAGCGTGCGCGTGCGGCTTTGGGGCACGGGGTGCGAGGAAGGGAGGGAGGGACCCAGGCGGACACGTACGCAGGGAGTGCGCGTTCGCGCACATACCTGCCTACAACGTAGATCGCGAGCCGCCGTCTGGACATACCTAGGCATATATATATATATATATATGTATACGTGAATATATCTGGCGTCTCTCCCGCGCTCGCCTAGCGCTGCCTACACGACACGTGCATGTAACTGGCCTTCGGTATTCTAGAATTCCGTGCCGACCTCACCTCTTCTCGCCTCACCCGCTTCCCCTCCTGCATCAGCGCGAGAGCGCGCACCTACGACATGTGGCATATTCAGGTCCAGACACTCCTCACGTCGTACGGAGCGCGGGGAGGAGGCACTCGTTTACGAGCTCCCAAGCCATCTCGTTAGTTAGGGAGAAGGACCCGGATTTACCGACTTTAGGGGCCGAAGGAAAGAATATAGAAACAGACGAGATGCGATCGTGATTAAAGTCGCCGAATAAGACGTCCTTAACCTTATAAAGCTCGACCCCGTCGGGAGAGCAGTATACCTATATTTTGTTAGAAGGAACGGATGCGTTTCTCATATACGGGTGTATATAGGAGGTAATATATATATATATATATCGGATTCCGCGCCAGTATAAAACATTAGCAATCTGCGCTTTTACTTAGCCCTATCCGACTTCCTCCCCCTCCCCCTTTCTCCTTTCGTCCTCTTACACTAAACCACCCGCCATCATAAAACGAATTAGATACGTATGATAACAACACGGGCTTAGGAGACGCTGGCTTCGGCTACCGCCGCACTTCTCCTCCCGCCCTTATATATTTCATCTTTATCGATTACCTACAGCCTATCGAGAAGGTCAGGGTGCTTGGGCTCGATTCCATCAGCTTACTGGTTATCTAGACTAGATCCGCACAGTTTAATCTGCTCGTTCCGCTTGCTGCGAATTTCGCCGGGGCGTGTGTATTGGGGTTTTTTTTTCTTCCTCGCTATCTTCGTACGGGATGGCCGCGTCGCACATCCTCTGTAACAAGCCCCCCCCCCTCAGAATCGCGCTGTGGCGGGGGCGATGCGGGCAAGAGCGCGACCCGAAAAGCCAACTGCGTTTTCTCTTTTCAGAACCAAGAAGCCAGAAAAAACCACCACTGTATATTATAACACGAGATGTCCTCTTTCCTGATCCTCCGCGCCGACTGTCCTCTGCCCCGCGCGCTCCCCTACTGCTTCTTCTTGGTCTTGTCGGCCGTCGGACTCGACGCGCCCGCGGTGGCCGTGGCGGCGGCGGCGGCGGCAGCGCTGGCGTCGGCGGCCTGGTCCAGGCGGGCAAGCTTCTCGAACTCCTCGTTGTCCTTGCGCTCGGCGTACCACTGGCCGGCCTGGAGGACGAGGACGCCGACGAGGACGAGGGCGAGGATGGTGTTGCTGGCGGCCATGACCTGGAGGCTGTCCTGGCGGCCGAGGATGACCTCGCCGCCGGTGAGGGGGTCCTTGCCGGGGCGGGGCAGGACGGTGGACGCGTCGGGCCAGGCGCCGGCGCTGACGAGGCGCAGGCCCTTGACGATGTTGGCCACGTAGACGCCGACGCCGATCAGGTACAGCACCAGCGACGCCCCGTCGAACAGCATGTTCGACTCCGACGCCCGGAACAGCTTGATGAAGAACCCCAGGAACCCCACCCCCACCGCGATGCTCAGCACCCGCGGGATCAGCGCCGGCGACTGGTGCACAAACTTCAGGTGCGTCTCCAGCTCGTCCAGGTACGCCGCCGAGATGGGCTCCTTCGTCCACAGCAGCGGGTAGTCGTACGGCAACATCGCGAACAGGATGCCCAGGAAGAAGCAGGTCGCTGGCGATGCGTGGGATTTACCCGTCAGCAATTTGTTTTACTTTCTTCCTCCCCCCCCCCCCCCTCTTTCCTCCCATAATCCATGGTTATCTGGGTATAGCTGCCGAGCCAGCCCGGCCGGCTGGCCAGGTTGGTAGGCAGCTCCTCTTGCTTGGACAACTCATCCCCACCGCGCCCGCATCAGCTCAGCAGCGTAGCGGCAGCAATTGGAGAAGGACGCGGGGGCGGTAGAGGGGGCTGGTGGCGACGGGAACAGGGCAGGGTCGAGGATCTTGAGCAACTTACGGCCGATGATCATGAAGGTGGCGAAGGACGAGGACCCCCGATAGTCTTTCGACCTCGTGGTCTTATTCCAGTCCACCCACTTGTCCGGCATGGTGCTCGATGCGGTGCGGTGCGATAGGATGGGGTGTGTCGGGTGTCGGTTGTCGAAGGAGATGCGGCGAGAGGAGATGCGACGAGGCGAGGGGATTTTGCCTTCTGGTTTATTTTTTTCTCAGCGGCGAACTGAACTCCCGACCGAAGTGAAGAGGACACAACAGCAGCTGAAGGAGAAAGGAATCTGTGATTGCGCCGTAATCCCCACAGGACTACACTGGATCTGGAGAGCAAGGATTAAGGATGAGGACCAGGGTCGAACGTGTCGGTCGTAGATAGTAGTAATGGCAGGTAGGTGGTGCCTAGTACCTAGCAGTAGGTAGGTTATTAGGTAAAGTCGAGTGAGGCGAGAAGTTGGGTTAGGAGATAAAGGGCCCTGATAAGACAATGCGACGTGCCCAAAGTAAGTAAGGGCCGCTGTTAAGGTGGGTCCCGTTAGGTACCTAGGTAGGTAGGTAAGGTGCCTACAGACAGGTAGCCGCCTGCGGGCTACAGGTAGGTACAACATACCTATCTTTAGGTGCTTATACACAGAAGCCCCCAGTCCCCTTTCACTATAGCACAGTCAACACACCAGGTACTTTTACGTAGGTTGCGCTGGGTGACCCTATCTGGAGCTATAGGTCTATCAGGTGTAGTATACATAATTAATAATGGCCAGCCACTATGCAAGCATTACCTAATCCTCAACCCACCCAAGCCCTACCCCACATTCATAGCCTGTAGGCTGTAGACCATAGGCACCCATTCCAGTAGCTACCGACCTCAACCATTTGTCCTATACATATCCTCTAAAAGAAACGCCTTATCTATGGCTCACCAGGCCAGGAAACGAATCTTCGCTACTTCAGTCTCCTAAACGGGTGTGCCTCGGTATTGAACACCCAGTCGTCCAGGCTTATATGATCCGGCTCGCTAAAGATCAAGTAGAAGTATCTGCAGTTTGCCACCTGTTAGCCACAGATATGCCCGAAGGGGGGGCGGACGGGACAACCTACTTCAGCGTCTCGCCCATCCAGAAACTCTCCATCACATCTATCTGCTGAGGATTTCTCTTCACGTTCACGTCCACTAGCGCGGCATTTGCCAGCGGCGTCCTCGTGTTGGCCTGGATCGCCTTGAACATGGCCCACGCCGATTCGGGCAGATCCCGGCGCCCCGTCGTGCGGTACAGGACGAAGACGCTCTCTATAGCCTCTGGCCGCAGGAGGTAGCGGCCGTCCGAGATCCTCGTGAACCCTTTCGGAAGCCCCCTCTCTTTGATAATCGCGTCCGCTCTGGCCGTATCCGTCACGTCGCTCTCGCCCGCCCGCTCCAGCACCGCTCGCTTCCACGCGGCTTCGTCCCATTCGCACTCCGTGCCGGGTGCGCAGGGGGCGATGTCAAACGTCTCGGGCATGATGCCCAACGGCATTGCCTTGTACGTCCAGATGCAGCCGTCGACCAGCTTCCTGGCCGTCTCCAGGTGTTCCGGGTTCCCGCACAATTTCCCACCCAGCGCCAGCATGCTTCCGGCGTAGCAGACCAGATGTTCACCGGAATTTTCAAAGTTTAAGACCACCTTTCCGCCGCTCTTCGCTGCACGTACGGTTCTCGCTATTAGTATGTCAGGTACCTCCGGAACCATGGGGCGGAACAGGTTCAACTTGATGGCGGTCGCCATCGATTTCTCATACATGGTCTGATAGGCAGGTATGAGGCCCCCGAGGAGGGCGTACATCTTGGGAAGATATTCGTAGGTACTGTCTGCCGTAGTCCCTAACCCAAACGTGGCGTCAGAATCAAATACCTCGTCTCTGGGGTTCACCATAATCGGCCACATGCCGGGCAGTTTGGTTGTGTCTTGCTGGGCCTCGAGGACTTCGCGAATCCTCTCGGTGGCATCAAACCATCTCGGATCTCCTGTCGCCAGAGATAGGCGCGTAAACTCCACGCAGAGAGAACCAACTTCGGCGATCAACGCCCGGTCGGGAGCCACTTGCTTTGTACCCTGGGCAGCTTTGTGGAAGTCCCAGCGGGAGATGGGCATGCGGTTTGGCGTATCGAAAGTCTTGTAAAGCATATCGCCAACCTCTCGAGCTTTGCGTAGCAGCCGCCGATCACCGCTTAAATCGTAAGCCGAGAGGAAGCCACCCAGATAGCGGATGGTGGTCTCAAAGGCGCTTACTTCGCTGAGAGTAGTGGACTCGAAGTTGATCTTGGTCGCAGCTGTGGCAGCCACCTCAAACTCTTCATGCAGAGACATGATCCACAGGGTATCTAGACTGTCGACCAGAGTGGCTCCCCAGCCGCCAAAGGGGTCTCTGGATCTGCCGCTGATAGGGGACAGCTCGTCTCTCATGAAGGCCCTGGTCTTGTAGGATGTCCAGCAGCGAAGGAAGGCGGCCTTGACGGCCGCCCGGCGTTTCTGGCGAGTAGCTGCATCCTCCTTGGACTCGGGGCCAAACTCGGCTTGGACGGGAGGAAGAGGAAGCGGCTGGCCGGTTGGCAGTGGCTTCAGGTGCCGGACAGGATAATGGGTGGGTAACGTCTTCCAGAAATAGCCCTCGTCATTTACGGTGACCGGAACGCCGGCGTAAGATGTCGGGAGGGTACCAGAGCCGGGCGTATAGGGTTGATCAGGGGAGAAGAAGCAGTGCCACACGGTAAAGAGGAGTAGGGCGGTCCCCAGAGGGACCCAACTATGTCGTCGGACAATCATTTTACGGGCCGATTATAGGCGACGACGAGGTAGCTAAAGAACGGGGGCGGAGGGTGTCATCAAAAAGATCACGAGGATGCCGAATAGATAGACGGGATAGGCCCAGACGAGAGCTGCAGAGGGAAAGGGAGCGAAAGGGAAAAAGGAAGAGAGAAATACTGGTAAGATGTCAACGTAGCAGTTGAACCAGACCATATAGGTAAGCCTACATACGCAAGTCGTACAAATACGCGGCATAAGAAAAAAGGGGCGATCACTACAAGGTTAGAGTTGCCTCGACGCTCGACAATTGGCGTGTTACGTTAGGAGGCGTGAAGTAGGAGGTCCTCCTCCTCCTCCTCCTCCTCCTCCTCCCTCCAACCCCACGATGACCAGTCCATTTGGGTGCTGTGGTTGACGGGCCGTCTGTCTCCCTCGGGGGAGGACCAGTGTGTGCATTCGTATCTACTAATATGTGTGCCATGGTTGATGTGCCACGGATGAAGGTATGATGCGTCACGGAGGCTGTAGGTACTGCGATGTTACTGCTTGTACCGTCGGTGCATCTAGGTGCCGGAGAGACCTGTAATATAGCTGAAGGAACCCTTACGTATGGGCCTGGTAGGCACCTAAGATAAGAGGTACGTACGTGCTATCGACCGCTAAACAGGTACCTCGTAGGATTATAGCGTTAGGTAAGTGCCTAGGTAGGTAGGTACCTAAGTAGCACGCTGTACGAGATATACCTTAGGTGCCGGGGGCACTCGATCTCGGCTACTACGTCCCTAGTAGCAGGTGCCGTAGAGGGCATCTAAAGCATAAACTACCTGTATCCGGGCGTATCTTCATGTAGGCAACGAATCAAGCAGACGACGATGTAAGCAGGCTTGTCGCTATCTACCTCCATACGGAAATGACATAATTGCGCTGGCTACCTTGGGTATGCCGGCGAACAAGTCCTCACTGGCAATCTAGGGGTAAGTATAGAATGTACCTAATTACACCACTACTGCTATTATCACTACAACTGTAACCTTTCCACGCACCAGATTCACACCAGCAGCCCGCCTGTCGGAGTTAGCTGAGCTATATACCACGCAAGACCTATGGAAAGGCATGATGATAGACCGCCTCAACAAGACGACATTGCTAGAACCTAGGTATATCCCCCGGGAGAGGCTTGTGAAGACCGACATTCCTCAACCCAAGGAGCCAATGGCTGTCTGGTACCAAGCATCTTCTATAACCATTTTGTTTAGCCTCCCTCTTGATACTAGACATCCCACCAATCAACAGTTTCGAGGAGGATCCGGCATCTCGGGAGTCTTAGATAATCGCCAGTTCGGCGTCGAGTCGAGTCAACCTGCTGCTGGCAAGACTCTCTCTCTCTCTCTCTCTTTTTTATGCCCCTTTCAACCCTCAAACGAGCTTCCGCATCAAGCATAGCGACGAGAAGACAACCGCAATCCGATCCCGCCAGCCAAGTAAGTCTATGCAACATGATGCAGATAACTCCAACTCCCCGCAAAAGCCTCCTACCTATCTCAACAAGAGCACCCGACCGCCCCGCCGCGATTGGACAATGGATGCTACCAGGCACCTGCGAGATGTGGGCATCTCCGACCAGGGGCTGCAGCGATAATGATGATATCGACAGGGCGGATGTGGTGATCCCTGCATATACAGCCGGCAGCGCTTCCGCTCGCCTGCCTATCGGCCCTCATCTCCCGGAGATATGCAAGCGGGAGGGGAGAGGAGGAGGAGAAGGAGAAGTGGACGAACAAGAAGCAAATATTATTGGCCAGGGCTGCCTGCTCCCAGTATATCTATTCCGGGTGTGCCGCCGTTGTTATCGTCGTTCCGGCACGCAACAGCATCGGCATTGCCGTTTTAATCACCATGTACTCGCTGATCCTCGCCGCGAGCGCGGCCGCGACCCTCGTCGCCGCCACGCCGCTCACCTCGCGCAACCCGGCGAAGGTGTTCCTCCCAGCTGAGGGCGGCAGCATCGAGCCACCTTCTATCTTCGCCTGCCCGGCGTCGAGCTGGCCGCCCAACACGATCGGCGGGCCGAACCTACCACAGGAGCCGTCGGCGGAATTGCGGTCGATCCTAGCCGAAGTCGACGTCGCCAACATCGAGGCCGCCGTCCTCAAGCTTGTGTCATTTGGCACGCGGCACACGCTGTCGGACCAGAACTCGACGACACGCGGCATCGGCGCCGCTCGCGACTGGCTCCGCGCCGAGTTCCAGAAGTACGCGGACGCGAGCGACGGGCGCCTGACCGTCGAGACGCCGGCGTACGTCCAGGAGCCCGACGGCCGCCGCATCCTGTTCCCGGTGCTGATCACGGACGTGGTCGCGACGCTGCACGGCACCGATGAGAACCGGCTATACGTCGTGTCGGGCCACTACGACTCGCGGGTCTCGGACCCGCTCGACTACGAGAGCGACGCGCCTGGCGCTGACGACGACGCCTCGGGCGTGGCCATCTCGCTCGAGCTCGCGCGCATCCTGTCGCAGCCGGGGCGGCCGCGGCCGCGCGCGAGCATCGCCTTCGCCGCCGTCGCCGGCGAGGAGCAGGGGCTCTACGGCGCGCAGTTCCTCGCCCAGACGTACGCGGCCACGACGCCGCGGACTAACGTCGAGGGCATGTTCACGAACGACATCGTGGGCTCGCCGCGCGGCGGGCGCGACGGCGAGAAGGCCGACCCGCGCGTCATCCGGCTGTTCGCGCAGGGCCTGCCGCCGCTCGCGGTGGAGGACGAGGCGGCGCGCGAGGCGCGGCTCACCATCGGCGGCGAGAACGACACGCCGGCGCGCCAGCTGGCGCGCCTCGTCAAGGAGGTGGCGGAGAACGAGGCCACCGGCATGAACGTGTCCATCGTCTACCGGCTCGACCGCTACCTGCGCGGCGGCGACCACCGCCCGTTCCTCGAGGCCGGGTACGCGGCCGCGCGCTTCACCGAGCCGCACGAGGACTACGCGCACCAGCACCAGGACGTGCGCGTCGAGGAGGGGGAGGACGGCGGCGCGAAGCAGTACGGCGACCTGGCCGAGTTCGTCGACTTCGAGTACGTGACGCGCGTCGCGCGCGTCAACGGCGCCGCGCTCTGGAGCCTGGCCGCGGCGCCGCCCCCGCCGCGCAACGTCCGCGTCGACACGGCCGCGCTCAGCAGCCACACGACGCTGTTCTGGGAGCGGGCCGGCGAGAACGCGGCCGAGGGCGACGGCTACGAGGTCGTCTGGCGCCCGACCAGCGCGCCGCTGTGGACCGCCGTGCTCGACGTCGGAAACGCCACGCGCGTCACGCTGCCCCTGAGCAAGGACGACGTCGTGTTCGGAATACGCGCCCGAGCAGCCGACGGCTCGCGCGGTGTCGCCGTGCTTCCGTTCCCCGGGACTGCGTGAGGCTCCTCGGGCTAGAGAGGGGAGGCGGCAGAGAGGAAGACGTTGGGAACGAGATATACAACCCTATAGTCATAGGGGAGGGAGTGAGGTACCTGCAGTAGGCGCGTTTCCATACCTAGAGCGAAAATACCTGAGGATACAAGTAGCTTGCTTGCTCTTCTGCCTTCCTCTTAGATAGCGAGTGAATGATTGAGAGAGCATATAGCTCTGAGCATTATAGCCAGAGGGATGCTTACCAAGAGCAGGCATAATGATGATAACCAGGTTAATGTGTTACCCTCGTCAGACAACTTAAAAGCGCAGGGCTAACATATTTGTGCCTCCGTAATTCGGAACAAGTCATGACACGAGCCAGGATACCAGACACGTATTCCCACTGACACCGCGAAGCCAAACAGACGCCAGGGTAAAGTGAGACATCATCCGAAGTGGCAGCGCGTCGGCACCGCACGCACTTCATATATTAAGAGCATTACCACTACACGAGATTTGGGGGGGGGGGGGGTTAAGCATCCGTCGCGATGGCACGAGTTCCACCTCCTCGCCGGGGGGGCCCCGCTGCCGTCTCTCCACCGCACGCGCCCGTGTCTCTCTCTGCCTCCTCCTTAGGAGCTCTGCCTTGGTATCACTCGTGACTGAACAACCCCCGTTCTAGGAATACAAAGCGGCGCTGGGCGCTGAAGAAACCGATCCCCTCCGCCACGCGCTCTCTCTCTCTCCCTCTCTCCTTCTTCTGACGCAATCGAAAGCAACACTCACACAAGAGACAACCCGCGGGATGGAGGGGGAAAGGAAAAAGGAAGATGGTCAAGGAGAAAGGAAATGGTACGCCTGGTGTCAAATAAGCAGCAGCAGCAGCAGCAGCAGCAGGTTGGAACAGACGAGACGAGACGAGACGTGATGTTTCTGGTCGATAGATCTGCAACGGGAGACGTGGAAAGGAAGGGTGTCTGGGGTAAGGGAGGGTTAATGGTGGTAGTTTAGATGGACAATGATGGCGTCGTGTCGTCTAGTCGTACACGTCCCGGGGACGGGACAAAACAAGGCTAGAGAGGGTAAAGAAAAGAATAAGAGGAAAAAAATAAAACGCCGTGCTATGGCTGCTGCTGGTGCTAGTGCCGTAACGAGATCAACAGCGTGTTGCTGTCATGTCCGAGGAAACGCAGTAGGTAGGTAGTACTGCAATAGATAGATAGGGTATGTAAGGTACGTTTTGCACGGCAGGGAAGAGAAGCCAGCGAGAACGTCAAAAGGGGGGGGGGGGGCGTCATCTACTCGGCCGGGGGGGCGGCGGGGGCGTCGGGGCGGGGGCGGCCGTCGTCGAGGCCACGTAGTCATAAGCCGACGCCGTCGTGCTGGCGGGGGCGGGGGGGGCTGCGCTTGAGGGTGAGCTGGCTGAGGGAGAGGGTGCGGGCGGCCTTCTTGCGGGCGCCGTCGAAGGGGTCGGGGGCGCCCGCGTCGGAGCCGGCCTCGGCAGCAGCGGCAGCGTCGCCGCGCAGGTCCTCGCCGAACGCGCCGAACGAGCCGAGCCCCGGGCCCTCCTCCGACCGCGGCGTCTTGTACGCCTCGGACTCGGTCTCCGCGCCCGCCGTCAGCAGCTCGTCGTCGTCGTCGTCGTCGTCGTCGAACGCCGACACCGCCGCGAACTTCATCTCCAGCCGCTGCGGCGCCCCCTTCCCCGCCACCGCGTCCAGCCGCCGCCCCAGCCGCGTCACCCGCGCCTCCAGCGCCTCCCGCGCGCCCCGCTCCGCGTCCAGCAGCGCCTTCAGCGCCGCGTAGCCGTCCGCGTCCGCCGCCGCCGCCGCCATGCCCTCGCCCAGCAGCGCCGGCAGGCTCGTCGCCCCGCGCACCGTCGCGTTCGACGTCGGCCGCTGCGACGGCGGCGGCAGCGACCCGATGAACGTGTTGCCGTCGCCGAACGACTCGGCCGAGTGCTGCCGCGACAGGCTGTACACGGACGAGAGGTCGAGGTCGAGGTCGGGGGGCGGCGGCGCCGCGGCGGCGGCTGGGCGTGACGCCGCGTAGGTGGCCGCGCGGGCGCGCGGGACCGCCGGCGGCGCGCGGTCCGGCGTCTCGGGGACGCCCCCCGCCGGCTCCACGTAGTGGTTGACGCCCGGCACGACCTGGAACAGCTGCGAGACCAGCTTCTCGAGCTTCTGGTTGCGCACCTCCAGCGCCGCGATCCGGTCCTCCAGCCCCACCGCCGGCTCGATCCGCATCTCCGACGTGATCGGCCCGAAGTCGAAGGTCTCCTGCGGCGTCGTCGGCGACAGCCGCAGGTGCTCGGGGGGGCCGAGGGGCGTCTCCAGCGGCGCGTGCGCGTCCTGGTCCTGGTCCGCGTCGACGTCGACATCGACGTCTGCGTCCACGTCCACGTCTCCGAGGGCGTCGACGTCGTCGTTGTTCACCGTCGACGAGTTGGGCGACATGATGGTCGGGTGGAAGCTCTGCCTCCAGTAGCGGATCTCGTCGCTGCGCTTCCGCACGTGCACGTGGCCGACGATGACCTCCTGGAGCTGCGACAGGCTCCGCGATCTCCGGCGGTGCGTCTGGCTGTCGCTCGTGATGGCGCGGCCGATATCCTCGGGATCTTCGTTCTCGGCCGGATTGCACCCGCGCCCCTGGCTGCTGGCGGGCCGAGGGGACAGCCCGATGAGCTGCCCGTCGAAGTCCCTGATCCTCTGGCTCAGGATCCGGTTCGACGACGCCGCTCTCCTCCGAAGCAGTATAGGATCCGCCGGCACCGAGCTCCGGGCCCCCGTGATGGCTAGCATGTCGTTCGGCCCAACCGAGTGCGATCGCAGCGGCCTCTCGAACTCTGTAAGGGGCGCCGACGCTCGCTTGGGCTCGTCCTCCTTCGGACCTCGATTCGAAGCTGGTGTGTCCTGGTGAAACAAAAAGACAAGGGTTATTAGCACTCGGGACTAAATGTTTGGGATAAATTAAGGGCTGCCTGCGGCGAGTATTCGACTCACATTTTGACGTTGTGCAGAGTTACCCTGCTCCGTAGAGCGGGTGTCTGAGGTGAGAACCTCACTCGAACCCTTTCTCTTTCGCTTGAAAAACCGTCCAAGGGTAGACTTGAGCGTCGACTTCTTCCTCTGCGGCCTGTCTCCGTCGGTGCCGTCGCTAATGATGGAATATCGCATGCCACTAGAGCGCATCGTTCTTCGCTGCGGCGGACTCGCAGAAGCGTTCGAGGCTTGGCTGGGCCCCGACATGGCGACGGATTCCGTGTTGTCCACCCGCGTGCTCTCGGAAGCGGGCGGGTTGTCGGACCTCGACGAAGGCAGCTCTTCGACATTAGGCTCGGGTGGCGGCGGTGCTCTGCTATTACGAACTAAATCTGGCGACGTATTTAAGATGGGAAAATCGGTTTCTATCGGGATAGGGCCGCTGATTCTGCCCCGAAGAGAGGAGTGATTCGGCTGAGCGGTCTTGGGTCGGCCAGCACTGGTGCCGGGTCGGAAGAGACCCATGATGAATGTCTGCGGCAAGCGAAGGGCGGGTCTTTTACGGGAGGGTGAATTTCGAGGAGAACGAATGGTAGAAGTGACAGAACGATCGTAGATATGGGAGCGACGGCGACCAGCGATCCATTCTTTTCTCTCTTTTTTGTTTGGTTTCTTTACCGGAGGGTATTGGCCAGTCCGATTTGGCGCCGCCGGCTGCTTTTGCTGTGGGAAGAGGACGATCTCCTGCGTCTCACATCGCCAGCAATGCAACTCGACAGGACGTGGACGTCGCTACGCGAATCAGAGCCGACGGGGAACCCCTCCTTTGATTGTCACTCGATGACAGTGGCGAAGAAGACAAAATAGAAAGAGGGATGGGTTTTACGAGGGCACCTCTACAAGTTTATGAGACGGAGTGGGAAAGGCCCTGCCCAGCTACAAGAGGGGAGGGGGGACGTATCCGGGACAGGCTCTTCTGCGACAAAAGCTCACGCCGGTGCACCCGAATAGGAAGTGAGAGAGAGAGAGAGAAAGAGAGAGATGGATCCTAGAGGGAGACAGAGGGCAGGCGGACAGGTGGGTAAACATGGGGACAGCTTGATCCATGAAACGCCCATGGCACCGAGACGCCTTTGAGTTTCCTGCTACAATGTCTAATGAGATATCCGGCTTCGAGTATGTACGTTATGGAAGGATGTAAGTCAGATAGCAGAGGTCCCAGAAGCTAGGCCTGCAAGTGACCCCAAAAGGGGGTACCAGGATGAGGAGGGAGGGGGGCCAGGGCATTGGAATGCTCATATTTGGCGCTCAGGGGTGTTGGGGGGGAGGGAACCCTGCTTGAAGCCCTGCATGGCACAGTCGAGGCCCGTGTGTTGGCCGATATTGTCTCGATGGTCCGTGGACACAGGTATGATATGCTTTATGTATGTATATGTATGTGTATGTGGACAGATTATGCACATCTGTTTCCCAAGATAGAGGAGCATGACTATTAGGTATTTCTTCGGCATCGTATTAAAGAGGGAGAGGGTGTGTGTATGTGTGTATATGTGTGCATGTATGTGTGCGTGTGAGTGTAGGTGGGTATGTGTGTCTTGCCACAGGAAGGATGCCTTCAACTTGCTGTCCTCCCACAAGAAACGAATCGAACAGGTCTCGTGGGGAGGAAAAGGGCCATCTCGATACGCATGCAATAGATAGATGCGGTGGTAGATTAGTGGTAGATTGGGTGGACCGGCCAAGGGAGGCCGAATGTGGTGACCCCGGCTGGTTATCCCCTCTCTTCTGCGTCTCTCTCTCCTTGCTCCCTCCCCTCTCCTTGCCAGCGGTCACCATAAGAACATCGGATAGACACATGTGAGCACATAAGTCTGCGCTGGACAGAAAGAAAAAAAAAGCCCAAGCCACGAACGCCTAGTCGGCGCCATCCGCCAGTCGGGATCAGGATAATAATGACAGGATCTGGGCTAGACCGGGCTGGCCTTTTAGTGCGGAGCACTCGCAGGAGCATCGCGTACCGCTCGCAACGGCGAACAAGGACCGAGGCACGGAGGCCAGCTCTGATTGCGGGACCCATCCGACCGCTTCGTGGCGTTGAATGCGCCCTTCGTGCGTTCGTTATCCTTTACTCATACACGCTGCGGTCGAAGCGATCGACGGTGCTCCCTACATATGTATGTGCTCATAGATAGGTAGGTATGTAGATATGTTAGGTAGTAGCTCGCCGAGAGCTCCCGGATCACAACTCGACGATGATCCATGGGAAGGATGACCATATATGTATATATCTCCATGCAGCATGTGTACTCATATATTACACGCCATGTATAGACAGATATAAACAAGCATATAATACTACGTAGCACATATTCGTATGTATGTTATATGAGCGCGAAGGCAATAACTACCGTTGCCGAGATAACGTTGCTACTAATTCATCTGAACGTGGTCGCCAAGTTAACTACATCTAGCCTTTTTTGTTTCTACTCATATTCCTATACATATAGTGATGGGATTCCCATATTAGGCCTTGACTTATGGGCAAGGTACATGGCTCGATACGCAGTGCGCCAACCCTGACCACGTAGTACTCATAGAGAACAGGCCTGGCTTGCCTACCTAGCTTCTATGAGGATTTCGAGACCACACAGTACACGTACACGTACACGTACCTAAACCCCGACGAGGTTTCCCACGATGTACTTACCTACCTGGTAAGAGAGAGAACAGGAGGGACATCACCAACCAAAACACCAACACGTTCCCCAAACCTCGTGTACGCGGCCTATCCTAAACGAAACCGGTATCACACTCGAAACATAGGTACCTGCCTCCACGCTGGAGAGGCCTGACGGGTGTGTCTCTCGCGTATCCGGATCGCTCGTGAAGAGGAGCGAGGGAGGGACACAGAGACAGAGACAGAGACAGAGACAGAGACACGGCCAGGGAACGAGCAAGAAAGAAAACAATAACGTGCTCGCCGTCCCGTCGTGGGCTTTTGACCTGGATATTCTGCCAAGACAGCCGAACGCTTAAGCACCGACGGCAAGGTCTAACGAGGAACGAATCTAGCGGGATTGCGCAGCACGCGAGAGACGGGGGCACGTTCTCCATCCCCGTTCCCTTTTATTTTGCGATGATGTCTCTCTCTCTCTCCGCGCTATCCGTAGGCTCCGTTTGATACATCCATGATCATAGATCTTCTGACGACGGCGCCAAGCTGCCATGTTCGAACGCAGTACAACACGTCGACGCACCCCAGCATCGTCGACACACCACCTAATACACCCACCCGCCCACATATCGTGTACATGCATAGATCACACACCCTTGAGAGGTGTGCCGTGTTTGATCTGCAAAATATCTTGGGGGAGCGGAAATCCTAAGGGCCGGGATGCCCTTTACTAAGATCGCCTGATATCAGCGACGCCAATGCGAAGAGGCAGAGAAAGAGAAAAAGAAAGAGGCAACGTTAGCCAAGAGCGGCGTCGGTAATGGCGTTCGGCGAGAATTGCCGGCGCGACGACGCGCCCTTTTTGTTTCTTCTTTTCTTTCCGCGATGTTGTGCTCACACTGTCTCAAACTGACAGGAGGAGGAGGAATAAGAGGAAGAAGCACGAGTTGTCGCACTGCACACCCGCCCGCGTACACACATACACACATCCAGTCTATGCCATATGCCATATAGTATACACCCTAAGCGCTTCCGGTTAAAACTTCATCCTCCTTAGTAAGTCGACGGAACCGCGGAGGGATGCTCGCGCCCGATCCGCTCGACCTCTCTCTTCTTCTTCCCTCCCCTGCCACTCAAAGTCGCCTCTGCTGCAACGGCCGCCGTCGTCCAGCGCTACCTATCCCGCATATGCACCATACATCCATACATACACATACGTACGCCTTGTGCTGGCACGAAGCACGTCGACGAGGCGCATCCAACCAGACCAGGCCCAGCGTCGCAGGATTTCTCCGAATCCGCTAGCCGATGCAGGTACCAGGAGCGCGCGCGCGCCTAGGGCACGGTCATCCATGACCGAGCTGTCGCTTCTGGCGAAAGAGAGGAGCAGTCGAGCAGACGACGGAGCGGATTCGTCAACCGACAGAGCCGCCCGGTTCTGGCCCCCCCCCCCAGACAGGAGCCTCTCTCGGGTCCCTCGCTCTGACAACTCACATCTACCACGTAGCAGGATCCTTCCAGCTTGCTGCCCCTCCTCCCCCAGTCATTGGCCTATCTAGGCAAAAGAGAGAAGAGGGCGAAGAGGGGACTCGGTCGACTCGGTCCCCATCGACCCGGCGAAAGAAACGAAAAATCTAGCCGAAAGACTTACTACTGCAGGAGAGAGGACTAGGGACATCTGATCCGAGCTCGCACGAGATATATTATTATAGGTTGGACCGGCGACGAAGAGGGATAGCTTCCAGCCCGTCCGCCGCGCGCCGCGTCCCCATTAATAACATGCCACTGTCTGTAGAGGCCTCAGTTTGCGAGAGAGCCGTGCATACTACGCATCTGCATCGGTATGGCCTATTTGGAAATAGAAGTCCTCGCGTACACGCATCCCTACGTAGTCCACGCCCGACGCTGTGTGTTTTCCTAAAGATGACATGCATGCAAGAGAACCACACATTCACGCATGTGTAAATACGTGAAGCTTAAGCTGGCACCCTTGCCGAACAGCTACGTAGTGGGTGTGGGAGGGAGACCGGGGCGTGACGAGGGGAAAGCGAGAGAGAGTGGTGAGATGACCTCCCATCCATCCATCCCTATGGACGCATGTAGGCATATAGGTAGTATGTTCACCTGCACATGCCGACATAGCCACATCACCACACACACACACACCACATCCCATCCATAGGATGGAAGGAAGCGAGTAAGCTCTCTATCGCATGTAGGTACGCCGCAGGTATACACAACGCGTCTAGCCCGCCGGAAACATTACGACGAAAGCATGCCTGTCCCTGCTCGACGAGAGAAAGCGAGAGAGCTCGAAAAAAGCAAAGGTCACCGACTCGCGCCTGGCTGTGTGTTACTGGCGCTGGGCGCGGTGGGGACGTCGAACGGGTCCGCCTCCCCAAGGCCCGGCGAGCGTCCTGAAACAGCAGGGGTGCGGCTTGGCCTCCTCGTCACAGCGTCATCGTCCGATGTCTCTTACATGGTATGTATTTCCTCGAAAGGAGAGACAGACGGGGGCCGGGGGGGGGGGGGGGGGGGGGGAGAGCGCGGCCGAGACAGAAAACGAGGGAAATAAATCTACGAGGGACGTACAGATGTAGGTAGGGGAGTGGTCGTGCTACCGAGTACAGCGCAGGTGAACAGGGAGAGGTAGGTCTGTCTGCCTTGGCGTGGGCACGGCCGCCGATATTCCCATCCATCGCCAACGTCGGCACGTACGACGAGAGAAGCAACCTGTAGGTACGGTTCGTATGCACAATCCACACACACATACATACATCCGTAGAGTAATTGTGGCTTATCTGCATGCTATATACTATATACTACCTACGTACGTAGTAGGCGAGCCGGCATCCTCTCCTCGCTGGCACGGCCCCCCCAAGCGTTCCCACTCACACGCCGGTCTCGCTCTCGCTCTCTCTGCCTCACCACGCTGGCCCAACTAAATCTACCCGCCGCCATGGTCCTGCTATTGCCCTCCTTGTGCGTTATGTGGAGGGAAGGAATCCTACTGTCGCCTCCTCTCTTGGCCTCCCTTGCCCACGGACTATATATCCATAGATAGGTAGCGTGCATGTATCTGTGCGTGCAGAGTAGCATACTACCACTGTTCCTACGCACCGGGGGATGGGGGAAGCATGCGTGCACGCTGGGTACGCTGTCCTTCTGCGTCTGCGTCTGTCCGCATATAGGTAGGCAATATACCCACTACAGACCGAGCAGGAGTCCGCACGTGGCATTGGGGGAGGGGGGCTCGAGGGGATGAGTCGAAGACGGGAAGACGATCCCGTAGAAAGGGGGCGAGGAGGACGAGGAGGAGACACGTACCGGAGAGAACCCCCCACGGACGTGCGAGGTTACCGGTTTAATCAAGACAAAACAGTAACGCCAAGGGTAACCCAACAGCGGGAGAGAGAGGGCATTCGGGACACTAGTACGCCGCCTAGAGAGAGGCAGAGGGAGCCGCATCGACGCAGGACCTAAACCGCAGCGGTGTCGAGTCACATCGTCACCAGCATTACTGTATCCGTCCCGTTGAAACCGCGAGCAAGCGTTTCCCCCTACCCCTCGTGCGCTCTCGTCTCGTTACAGGAAGTATTCTTCTACATGTCCTTCCTTCCTATCCCATAGCTAGCTGGCGCACATCCTCGTCGCACGTCTTCGTCCCCCTCTTCCTCCTTCCCCTCCCTCCACCTCTCTCCTCACGTCTCTAAAGACGCCGCGTCGACGTATCGCAGGTCCGCGTGCTCCTCGAGCCAGGTCATCCAGTTATTGAGAAACTTGCTACCTCTAGCTCAGACAGAGAGGCGTCAGACACGAGCTCGGAGAGGGGGTTTGGGGTTTAGAAGGTAGGTGGTGAGGATGTAGGGAGTAAGAGGGGAAATTGCTGGGCAATGAGGCCGGTAGAGCTATGGAGTAACGTAGATGGGTAAGCAGATAGATGGACATACCGTCGGACCGTCTCCGAGTCGCCCACGACGACCAGCGAGCGTTTAGGCCTCGTCATCGCGACTAAGTGCACGCAAGAGCGTTAGCTCCGGGCTGGCTCCGGGCTCACAGGGGGGTACATGTATGTAGGCAAGTTCGAACTCACCGTTGAGCCGCCTCTTCTCGCTCAGGAAGCCGACCTCGCCCTCCGAGTTGCTCCGCACCAGGCTCACAATCACGGCCTCCTTCTCGCGGCCCTGGAACCCGTCCACCGAGCCGAGCTCTATGCCCGGAAAGCTTTCCTTGAGCGGCGCGAGGAGGCCGAGCTTGTTACCGGGGAGACAAGGTAGATGGTCAGCATAGAGGATATCCGTTTGGACGAAAGAGAAGCATCGAGTTATACCAAATAGATACAGAGAAAGAGAAAGAGGGAAGGGGGTTCCCAAGGGCCGTAGCAAAGACATACCTGGGCATTGTACGGCGTGACGACGGCGATATCCTCGGGCCTCACGCCGGCCTCGACGAGCTTCCGGACGTGCTGCCGCACGACCGCGGCCTCCATCTCGTTGCTCTTGCTGTCGCCGAACAGGGACCTGATCGTAGCCTTCTTCTTTTTCTTTGTGTCCTCTTCCGTGCCTCCGCCTCCCCCGTCCTCATCCTCTTCCTCGTTCTTCTCCGGGTAGTCGCCCCCCTGCGTGTCGATGAAGATCACCGGCTCGCTCGTGTCCTCCGTGTCGCGCACCCCGTACGGCAGGTCCCGCAGCAGCCGCGCCTTGACCCCGTCCGCGGCGACAAGCCGCGACTCGTACAGCTCGTCCGACGGGAACCGCATGATCTTGTCGTGCATCCGGTACTGCGTCGTCAGCATCCGCTTCACGCCCGGCCCGTGTAGCTTCAGCAACCGGTCGAAGAGTGTGGTCTCGAGGCTCCCACCATCGGCGACGTCTCCCGCCTCCGCTTCCGTTCCCACTTCCACCTCCACGTCCTTGTCCTTGCTCGTGTTCTTCTCCGCGCCTTTGTCCCCGCCCTTCCCCGCCGGCCTCTTCTTCTTGCTATCCTTCTTCCCCTTGTCCTTGTCCTTGTCCTTGCCCCCGTCCTTCTTCTTCGCGTTCGCCGACTTCACCGTCGGCGGCAGCTGCAAGTGGTCGCCGGCGCACACCGCCTTGGTGGCGGTCAGCAGCGGCACCCAGCACTGGGCCTCGAGCGCCTGGCTGGCCTCGTCGATGGTGACGACGTCGAAGCGCTCGCCGCGGAGCTGGGCGCCGCCGGCGCCGTGCAGCGTGGCCAGGACGACGGCGCTGCCGCGCACGAGCGCGTCGACGCACCGCCGCTCGCGCTCGCGGAACTCGCGCCGCAGCTCCTTGAGCTCCGCGTAGATGGCCTTGCGCTCGCGCCCGCTGCGCGCCTTGCGCACCGACGCCTGCTTCGCGTCCATCTCGGCCCGCACGTCGCGCACGATCTGCCCGGCCTCCGACGTCCGCGTCAGCACGTCGAGCGAGTGCTCGAGCACCGACGGCAGCAGCCGCGCCGGGTGGCCCAGCCGCACTATCGGCACCCCGCGCGGCGCCAGCCGCTCGACGATGTTGTCCACCGCGATGTTGGACGGCCCGCAGACGAGCACGCGCTGCCCGCGCTTGACCAGCTGCAGGATCAGCTCGATCAGCGTGTGCGTCTTTCCCGTCCCTGGCGGGCCGTGAATCAGGGCAATCTCCCTCGACGCGAGCGCGAAGCGCACGGCGTCCTTCTGGGAGTCGTTGAGCGTCGGGTCGAACCAGGCGACCTTGCCGTCGCCGACGTCCGGGTCTGCCGCGAGGTCGGCGGGCACGGGCGAGGGGGTCGTGAGGCCGAAGAGGACGCGCACGAAGGGCGAGTACTCGGCGTCGGGCATGTCGCGGAGGCGCTCCATGGTCTGCTTCATGCGGCGGTAGGTGACGTCGTCGGCGAGCTTGAGGAGCCAGACGCGGGCGGCGAGGGCGGCGACGCCGTCGCCCTCACCCTCGCGGTCGTCGTCGACGGCGACGGCCACGGCGTCCCGGCGGATCCGGACCACGACGCCGCGGACGCCGCGGCGCTCGAGGTCCCGCACCTCGCGCTTCCTCGCGCTGCCCGCCGGCTGCTCGCTCGCCAGCACGATGTCGCCCGTCCGCAGCCCGTGCTCCGGCAGCTCGCCCGCCACCGCTACCGCCCCGTCCGGCCCCAGCTCCTGCACCGTGCGCCCCCCCATCCCCGTCCGCTGCGACGCCACCACCAGGTTCGTCACCGCGAGCCCGGCGCGCTGCAGCGCCGCGGGACTCGCCCCCGACACCAGCCCGCTCGTCTCCCGGATCTCGCTCTGCAGCTCCGCGTCGAGGAGCGCGAGCTGCGTCCGCGCAAACGCCGGCACGTTGACCGCCCGTGATAGGAGCGACATCTTGGCGGTCTCTTGCAAATTATAGAGAGGCCGACGATGGTATGGTAGTGCTCAGGTGGTGCTCATTCTAGACGCACACATACGGCTATCTTCGCATTCAACCAAACCAAGTAATGAAGAGATGAATCAAAGCTGCTAGTGGTGTTCCTAAATGCTAGGGGTTTTGATCGTGATTTGTTTCGTGTTCTTTTTTAATGATCGCGTTGGGTTGAGTTGTGGGAGAGAAAAGGTTGATGGCGTTGCCCGATTTTCTAGTTGGTCCTGAGATGTCGAGAAAATGCTGAGTGAGAACAACGGCAGGAGGCCGGCTACCGACACTCTACGACGACAACACATGTACAAATTCAATTATCGTAACATTTCTGAGTAAATTTCAACACGCCTTATTGAATATTCGACTTTCCAATTATATAAAGATGTAAGTAACATCTTGTTTATGTGCAGCTATACGCCTAGGTACACGGCATCAAGCTGTCACATATCGCAATCTCGACCAGCAAATACGGCACAGTATTTCTGCTCTCGTCGCGCACACCGTTTACGTGGACGGCTCGGCCGGATCAGGTATTCGTAGGCTGTGTAAATAGAACCACGAAGAGGCTGACGACTACGAGAGCCATGGCGACGAGCGAGACGAGCACTATGGTGCCCCTCGAGGCGGGGAATTTCCCCTTGATCACCCACTGTTGGCTTTGGTAGTACCTACGGTATCCCAGCAGCAGGACTAGGATGGATATGCCTATGAAGGTCGCGCCGAGCGGCTTTCCCAGGTGACGGGTCCTCTCGAAGCTGGCGTCCTCGACGCCTATCGCGGCGTTGAGGCGGAACAGCTGGGTGATGGCGATTCCGATCGACGCGAAGGAGAGCGACGTGCGGAGCCAGGCGAGGAACGTCCGCTCTGCGAGCCGTCAGCGTGCCAGACGTGCGAGAGCAAGGGGGGAGGGGGTCGTTCGCGGACTTACCCAAGGCCAGGTGGTCCCTGGCTACGCTTCCCTTGTTCTCCAGCTCTACCGACAGCAGCCCGCCAAAGTAGTGCCTCAGCCAGCTCTTCTCCTCGATGCTGCTGTCCGCGTTGTCGCTCGTCGGGTGGTGGTTATTGGTGGTAGTGTGATTATTACTAGGGTCCTCTGATGGCGGCTGCGTCGGCCGCCGGTTTCTCGGGTTGGGCGACATTCGCATGGCCTGGTAGCTGACGGCGTAGTCGCGTGCTGATGTGATGCTCGTCCTCTCGTTTAGCTCCCCGTCTCCGTCGCGGTCCCCCACCACGGGCGACGGCAGGTACTGGAAGCTCATGCCGGGACTACTGGGCCCCCAACCTGGCGTCGGCGTCTGCGAACGTATCGTGTCGGCACGTTCTCTAGCAGTCTAGGTACTCCAAGTACTCAGTCAGCCAAGACCAACACTATCCGGAGAGTCGCGAGCGGGGGCAAAGAAAGGATCCTCTGGGCGTAGTGAGGAGAAAGCTCGACAGTTCTCAATCTCGCTTCTCCCCTCTGTCCTTCCTCATCCCCTCGCTGGGAATCGTAGCGGGGCAGGCAGGACGAACCTCGAGAATACCGTGAATCCGATCGTGAGAAGACAGGCGCGATGGTGACAACGGGCGGTCTGACCGTGGTGAGGATGCTCGTCTCGGGTCGGGAGAGAGTGCCGCGGACGGACACGGCCTAGGGGAGTCCATGACGGGGACCAGACCCTCTTCCTCTACCTATAGACTGCGTGGATATGCAGTGGGCTCTGTCCGGAAACGCCAATGCGATCCCGCAGCACGCAACGATAAAGCGTCGGCAAGGGCCAGCAGACCGCCGGACATCCTGGGCGCGCCAGGTGTGCAGGTATCTCGGGTACACAGTCGACAGAGGGTTGGTGTTTTGTGTTTTTGGTTAGGTCGTTGATGACATGCAACCTAAGAATTGCGACGACGAGAGATAAGAGGGTTGCTAGCTTGCTTGGTAGGTACCTACCTACATGCCTAGCGTAGGTGCCTCCGCTGCTAACCCCAGGTACCTACCAGGGGCAGTTATAGGTACCTAAACCACCTAAACTACTATGACTACCGCCCAACGCAGCAGCGACGTCGGTACCTCCTACCTACGGTGCCCAGCCCAGCCTAACCCAACGAAACCCGTCCAACTAACCAACTCGCTAGGTACTTGTCGTTATGCTCCCTACGAACGAGGGGGGCGGCATATAACACCTATATAGGTACCTAGCGTATATGAGGTATACTACCTCCACCTACCTACGTACATACCTACCTAGTGCCTTAGGCAGGCTAGCAGGGTCCCTAGAGAGCGCACCGGATATGCCCCGGGCGCCGCCGTGCGACGTGTACGCATCCTAAACCGGAGCGGATCAGCTTGGATCTTCATGCAAAGACCGACCTCCCCCTGGTAAATAACTCCAACTTACTTTATATACTGCCTACCAGCAGGAGGTGGTGAGCGAGTTCAAGGCTGCTCCAAAGTCGTAAACAAATCTGGTTGCCAGGGTTGCGCCGACGAAGGATTCGTTTCTTTAGTTATGTATTTATTCTCGCCGTAGGTATATAACGTGCATGGAGACGTCAACAAGACGCCGTTCCTGAAGAACATCCAGAGGGTCGTATGTAAAGCAGGCCTACATCACTTGCCCTTCCTCCCTCTCACATTACGACGCGTAGTTAGACAATATCTTAAGTGTTTATTGCATGTATGAACTGAACATGAATTTTATAACAATGAAAGCCATGGTCATACTGTCTTAATTCCAAAATTGAGTCTCTCAAGGTAGATAGCTACCAGCTACATTATAGTTACTACCCCAAAGGCATAGAACAGGGTCTACCATGCCCGGGAAACCTCTATCCCTGTGTTCCGATCTGATATGGCGGTTTCTATGCCTAGGTATCTGTGCATAGATGCTCCCCATAGCGACGCCCCCTAGTACTTGCTTAACACGGCTGAGTTGACCCCCAGCACCCGCCAGCATCGCCATCCTCGGATATCTATGCGGCAACGCTTGGTATCCGATGTGGCTTCCGCGCTATCGAGCATCCGAAACGGCATCATCAGACGAAGCCATCACTTCAATCTAGCACTCAATCGATCAATAATCTTGTTTCCGTGTTATGAAACCTGGTGCGTAATTGGCGTCCAGAGACCCCGAGAAGGGGCCATACGACGATAACCAACTGCGCGTTGACCGACACCTCGATCTTCGAATATGTCGAGTTCGCGCACATCTTCCCTCTCACGCCGGGCCTTCTTGCGCCAAAGGCCTCTAAGGGTGATGTCCCCGGGCAGCAGAGAGAGACACGGCTGCCCTTGTGCTCCCCGCCATCGTGGCCATTTCTTCATCGTTATCGATGACCAAGGGCAGGGTCCGGCATTCTAGTGAGCCGGAATATTGATATAGAAAAGAGCCACCGCCGGAAAGAGATGTGGCCGAGATGGAGTGGCTGATCTTGAAGGGGGAACTCGGAGGTGGCGTTCTACCATCTCTAAATACCCCGAAAGGAGGCGGGGGGAGACGAATATGGCATTGTGAATATCTTGGTTCCAACTGGATGGTGTAGATGAGCCACCGCGTACTGTTAGTAGGGGGCGCTGCCGGGGTGAGAGTCCAATCCGCGCGCTCTTTGCCGGTTTCCCTCTCCCTTTGAAGTAGCCCAGTCGCGAAGCCAAATAGTTCGTATAGTTCTCTCCGTGAGGCGTCTTCTCTAGCCAATTAGCAGAATCATCGCATAGAATCATGTCGAAGAACCCCTGCCGAACTCTGACGAGCCTCCCTCCCTACTTTTCACGGGGCGAATTGCTACCGTCGCCACAAATTGGCAAAGAAAGCCCTCTCAGAGGGCTGAGGAGCGCCGGAAAGAGAGGCGAACAACCCTCGGAGCGAAGTAATCCTAGCAATCCTAGCTCAATCTCGACGTATTCTCTTCAGCCCACCCCTCCTCGCCCCCTTCTGGCGCGCAACTACGACCCGGAAAGCTCGGCTATCGTAATCGATAATCTCGCAGACTAGGCGACGCTGGATGGGGCGATCTGAAGCAAGCCCGCGGCATCCGGCTATCGAGAGAGTTAGGGCCCAGGCGGCGTGGAGTCGTGGCGCCTGGGAGAGCACGTCCTCAGGCCCGGAGAGCTGAGACTGCGTCGCCCTAGCGGACGAGCCTATGCCGCGGACCAAAACACGCGCGCTCACCTCACCATCCATGTCGCCCGCTCAGACACTTGACCGAGACACCCACGTTCGCTCGCGCCATCGCGGAGCTGCGGAGGGAATGGCTGGCAGGGCGCGTCCTCGCCGCCCACACGCCGACCTTACCTGCCTAGAGCATGGCCGGCGATAAGCCAGACGATCTGGGGCAAAATCCGAACCGCTGGGTGTCTGAGACAACAGAGCCGCTAGGCTCGGAGAATTCTCCGAAACGGCGAGTGGCGGCTGAGGAGAGGGAGCCGACGAGAACGCCCAAAAGAAAGAAGGAAAAGCAGAGACAGTCCGAGGCAGGGTCTGAGACGCGGCGCGCTGTGCGACTTTATGCTCCGGCAGGGTCGTGCGCACGCGCGGTATGCTTACCTACCTGCGTACACGTCGCGTGGCATCACCGCACGGAGGACCTGCTCCGGCGCGAGCGCCCCATGCGCTGGCAGCGCGCGCACATGCGACGAGGCCTCTCCTAGCAGATACGTGCTCCGCCCCCCTGTGTGCGCTGTAGGCAGAGTCTACCTCAGCACACTGCTCATCTCCGCGCTGGGGGAGGGACGTGCGTGTACTGGCCGACGCCGGCGTGGCGCTGAGACCGCGACTGAGGCGAAAGAAAAACAGGCTCCCCCAGCAGAGCAGGCGAGCGACAAAAAAAGGGGGGGCGGCCAGACACGCACTCGCGCGCTCGGGGGGCGGCGAGCGGGAATAGGGGCTCAAGGCGCGAAGTCCCCGCGTCTCGGGCCCGTCGCCGGCGCGCTCGTCTGGCTCTCCCTCCCTACCCGCGCTCGCCCACCCTTGCGCCGACGTCTGGTCTCGCGCTCGCGCCTGCATGCCAGACACGCATGCACGCAGGTACACATCCCCGACGCCCTTCCGCCAGGAGAGCGTATACGTGAGCAAGAGAGAGGCAGCGCGCGCGCCTCAGACACAACACCCCTCCCCCTCGGCCCTGTGCGCCCTCGCCTCAGACCAGTGACAGCCAGGTCGTGCAGCATCCGCGGCCCACCAATGGGCCGTAGGCCCCGAGCGGCTGGGTCGATGACACGTCGACTTCAGCGCGGCGGGACGTGATACGCTGGAGCAAGGCCCCTCGCCCTCCTTTCTTTCTCTCTCTCTCTTCCGAGCGGGGTGCCTGGTACAGCCCGACGGCAGGCGGGCAGCATAGGCAGGTGAGACAAGCGGGGAGGCAGGTTAGCGCCTGTTCCGCCGTGCGCGCTCCCGGCGCCCGGGTCGACGCCGGGGCGTAGGTGAGGTTGGCTAAAGGGGGCCCCCCAGGGCCACCCCGGAGACGTCTCCGGACGGGGCGGGGAGCGGTGTCCTCCCTGTCCTCCCCCCCTTCTCTCCCCCGGAGCCACGGGGATAGGGGATGGAGAGACAGGTGGCGGCGGTGGCGGGAGGTGGTACTCTAGTCGTTGGGTACGAAGACGCGAATGTAGGCATCAATTACATAGCTACTACCACTACCTGAGTCTCTACTACCCGACGCACACCCACTCGCCAGCCCCCGGAATCCCGTCAGCCAGCGCCAAATATATCCTCTTTTTCTTTTCCGCCCGATCGCCTCCCGTCGTGTGCACGCGCGAAGTAGCAGTACCTCCTCCATACGCGGGGTGCCAGGCGCATGTACTGGCTGGCCTATTGGCCGCCGCGCGGGGGGCGCCGCGTGCCTATATATCCGCATAATGGCCTCGACGCAGCAGCCCGCGGGCGACGCCTCGGCCGACGCGCGGCAGCGCTTGCCGCCGCGCCCGTGTGCGAATTAATATATGCGCGCGCCCGCGTGTGGAAATGCGTGTGCGCCGCGCCCAGGATGTCTTGTCTGCGAGGACGCCGTGTTGTTGGCCTCATGCTTACCTGCCTGCCTGCCTGTTATATGCGTGTTTGGTGCGCGGCGTAGGCATATCGACGCCGCACCCGGGCGGCGTGGGTTGGGGGGGCCGAGCTCCAACACGCCCACCTGTTCCTCCCGGTCTCTCTCCTGTTTTCGGCGAACCAGCCTTGCCTCGACTCGCCTGTGCGCGGCCAACCTGCCAACCTGCCATCGCTCTATTGGGCATTAGCGCGTGCCGTGGCCGAGAGGGGGGAGGAGAGAGGGGAAGGGAATGGTCTCCAATCTTGGCCCCATCATCCTCTCTGGCACTGTTGGATCTCCCTGCTGCCATTGGTGCTATGGTAGCAGCGCGAGGTATGAGCGGTGCTAGTCAATCAGCTAGCTAGCAACGTCTATATATAGAATGTGTATACACGACTGCTGCTGTTAGATCCGGCGACTTGTCCTGCGCCGTCGCTTTCTCGCCGTCACGCGGCCTGAGTGAGTACTAAGCAATGCGACGAGGAAAGTAGTCTTTGAGAAATAGCGATACTTGCTAGGAAGCCCCAAGCAACGCCTTCGGGACGCCCATCCTAATCTGCATCCTAAAAATAAGACACCGGACGTTTATTGGCAGCGAGACTAGGTAGGGGCGGCACTTGACTGGTCAGATCTTCTCGCCATGGCAATGATGGTGTTGAGAGGTGACATTGGATGAGCACTCGCGCCTCCTATAGAGCTCCGAAGTCACATTTGCGTCGGGATACTTCTAGCATATGTTGATTTGTCGACAACCTCTGTGGCATTTTTCTCCGTACCCCCAAGGGTCACCAGAAAGACGAGAAAGGAAGTTGGTGCTAATAAGACATAAGTCACAGCCATACGACAAACGTGGCGTAACCTTTGCTGGTGGTTCGCCAACGAACTCGCCGCTAAGAGGCGTCTACTACGTATTACGGTCGAGCTGGCAGATTGAGGCCTTGGTTGGGAATAACCTGGGACCTATCGTCGTCCTTCTTCCTGAAGACTAATGGCGGCTGTAGAGCCACGCGGCACATGGGACGATGGATTATGCAGAGCGGTGCGTTGAGCAGCGATGGTGTTGGAAATGACATGCTTACGATCCCACTACGTCGGCGGCGGGGGACCCATGAATAGATAGGATGAAGGGACGCGGACTTCGAGCGATCTCTCCTGCCGGTGGAGTCGACGCTACCTCGTGGCCGTGCAAGTATTCGGCCTATAGTGCTTACGTGGGTAGCTTGCTGTTTCTGGCATCCTCTGGACCGACCCTATCCTGTCGGGAACTAACCGGGTGCGTGCTAGGGCGAGATGTCAATCTCGGGCGCCAGCATTCGTGAGGATGGGAAGGGCTCGTGATGCTCGTCTAGCCGTATGCACATCATATCTGATTCTAAGTCGGTGGTCGTCCGTTGCTCAAGCTGGTGGGTGAGGCCGATCCGTCTCTGCAACCCCGCTATCGTGAATCATCTACAACCCAAGCTAGGGTGAATCTGATGGTAGCACTGAACCGTTGGGTTTCATGTCGTAGATCTATAACATCCGCCTTTGCTGCGACAATCTCTGCCGCGACGAGCCAGTGAGAGAGAGAGGGGGGTTGGCGTAGGATCCGACCTGGCTCATTGAAACCTGATCTGAGCTGTTTGTAGTAGTCCCGTTGACTAGACAGGGGACGACAGTCGGAGAGCGGTCGTGCAAGTCAGCGACAGACTTGTCCGCAGCATTTCATCGGGACCTGCAATGGGCATGTAAGTCAGAACAAAGCGTAAGCATACTAAGCAGTATACGCTACGTGCGCATGCGATGCGCTCCATCGCGGCCCAGGATCTGGCGATGGGGTCGAGAGGAAGGATCTGGACAACATGTTGACTGTCAGCGGATATACATACATAATACAACTCAACTGCCCGTTACAGCACAACCACCACGAGCTAATCGAGCCACACCGACGCTCCCTTTCTTCGGGGCACCCCACGAGAAGATACTTGGGTTCTCTTCGTCGACGATTCTGGCGAGTCACGAATTGCATGGCCTGGTACACTGGGTAGCACCAAAATCCTGTGCCTTGGCTGAAGAGCGGTGTCGTCGACCTGGATTGCGGTTGTCGTGCGTGACACAATTGGATGCAACGGCGAAAAAAAATAAGCAAGTAAAAACCGCCCCCAGTCGATCGCGAGCTTAGGCGTCGGAGGGTTGAAGGATCGTGATGCTCGAACAGCAAGAGGGCCCTTACCCCCCAAACTAAACTCGACCCAACTACTGGCTTGCCGAACTGTGAAGAAGCTTGGGACGATGTCGTGGACGCGTCGTCGTCGTCGTGGGTTGGCCTAGCCTGACTCGAAGACGGCATTGCCGCTAGCATTAATGCGAGAAAAGCTTGCTTGCATCGGCAGGGTTGCTACGCCCACCGTGTTCATGCGACGACGCATTCGGGATGAGCTGCAATTCTCAAGACACTGTAAGCCCCGCTCGAGACGGTGACGTCTTCGGGTCGAAGGCAAGTAAGTCGGTCTACGGCCATTCGCAAAGCCGTCAAAGGAATTAGGTAGTCAGCTAGGCCATGCCGTTCTGTGAACGTCCTCTCCGGGTGTCGTCGAGATGACACACTCGGAGATCCCGTCTCGGCAATTTCGGCCGAGGGAGAAGATAAGAAGAGGCACAGTCATGCCGCTTACGGGGAGAGAGAGCTCTAGGGACTCCATAGCTGCAGCTGGAAGAGCAGGAACTGCGTGCCTACGGCAGATGCCGCCTCGGAGGGCACGGGTAGCGAGGACGCTCTATACGCCACCCTCGTGGGCGTTGCTATTATGCGTGTGGAGCAGTAGCGGTCGCCATAGCTTGGAGACCTCCCGGATCTCTCAGGCGTGTTGGCGGTTCCTCGAATGGATGCAGGTAAGTCTTGGAGGATTCCGCTTCTCTAAATGTCGGCTTGATGCGTCGGAGGGGCCTGTTTGCTGCTGCATCGCGTCCCCTGGTCAGTACAGGCGGTCAACCGGAGCTTTCGACTTGTCCTTCCCGCCGCACGACCTCGCGTTCTACACGTATGTAGGTGCGGGAGCTGCGGGAGAGCGTGGTCTGGGTCTCGCACGCTCAAACGAGGGTCCCGCGACGGGGATGCTATACTACGTACTGCTACACGGTAGACCGCAATCACCGTCTCTACCAATCATGCGCAGCCTTTCCAAAAGGGCAAGGCCTTGCTCACCTGTTCGGCCCGTGACGCTGGACAGGATTGGATTAGGAAGGTCGCCTCCATCGTTGCCAACGCCGTAATCCAAGATAACCTCCCCTGGACTTATAATTCACAGACGGGTCATTAATAGCCCGGCGTGAAAGAACACGTGGGGAACAAGCCAATCCGACGATGCCTACGGCGAACCGAGTAGCAGAGAGAGCAACGCGGAGGGTAGCAGAGGAAGACCATCTGAAGCTTCCTTCGTAACACCTACGCCGTAACCTATCCAACGGCGTCCTTCACACACACCACACACACACACACACACATATGCATACGACTCTCGGCACCTCTACGTGAAATCGCGGGGTGCTGATAACGGGCACCAATTGGACATCGATGATACGGTAGATTCGGAGGTTGGTGACCGACCAGACACACTTACCCAAAGAGAACCGAAGGAGAGAGAAGAACCTCCCCCAAAAAGCCTCGCCCGGGGGGAGGGGGAGGGGGAGGGGGAGGATGAGATCGCCTTGTTTTGCACTAGCATACACGCAGACGAAAAAGATGTGGCTGCTTACGCCGTTGGACGTGCAGTTCGAATCGTCCCGGGCGAGCGTGTCTGAAGCATTGTTCGCCCTGTTATCGCGGCGGAGATTGTAGCAAAAGAAAAGGTCAGAGGCTGTGACTAATTATCAAGATCCTGATGAACCCCACGGAGATGGATCTTCGGACTACCCCGTTTGCCCGCCGCGGCCACCTCGGCTTCGTGGAGCTGCTGGTAGTTCTGCCGGAGCCGTTGGGTGGGAGATGATGATCTGCTGTCTTCCCACGCCTGATCCCTGGCGGCAGTTGCCGATTCGCTCCATCCGGCTCGCGAAGTTATAAAAAGCAGCTGGGGGGGCACTTGGGGACCGTGATCATCGCTAAAAGGATCGACGTATCCCGCTCGATGGTGTGCGAGAACACGCGTTGTCTTCCTTTCTTTTTTCGTCCTCTTCTTTCTTCTTCGGTCTGCCTGTCTTCGCCCCAAGCAAGCAAGCAAGCCCCCCAGTCCGGTCCCCAACGCGCGCGAATGAATAACAGCAAGACCTCCTTGCTTCTGCGGGTTGCCGGCGGGCGCTTTAGGTCAGGTGGATGGCTGGTGGTCGGCTTTTTTTTTCCCTCGCCCCAAATGATGTCTTGACGAGCCGTGGCGAAAAGCACAAACCTAAGGTTGGTTCTAGAAGAGAGACACCGTTGGTCCTCGGGCGAAGGGGGAAGAGCCTAACTACATGGGACGACGCTCTCGTTGCATGCTTGCCAATACATGGCGATAGTTCTCTCGGCCTGACCATCGGTCGGCCCGTGTGTCGACGGCGAACTGAACCGACGGGTCCCACGCACGGGAGTGATATATGATGGTCTGGACGGGAAATGGAGTCCCAAGTCCCCCGGTGCACCTAAGCCGTCCAGGGCCCTTGGAGACGAGCGAGGCCAGGCTGGGCGTGGCATTGGAATATTCCACGGCCACCTTTGGAAGTATCCATGTCTATGGCTCTGGGACGACAGAATTGCAGGGCTGCGATGCGAGTCCGGTACTGTATGTAGGTCGGAAGTTGATAGGAAGCTGGTTTAATAAGGGCGGGGACGATGCCCTGCGACCATTAGTGGACGATTAGTACCAGGCATGTTGTGCCAGACGTGGGCAGGCATGTACTCAGGCTTAGTAGGCTAAGTACCGAAAGGACTAGTTTACAGGTGGTTGGGGAGAGTTGGGTACCTTTACTAGCCCCGTCAGGTACTTCAATGCAATGTATGTACGCACGGAGCAGACGGAGCCAGATGGAGCGGATCGAATCAATGCACGGTATGCACTGAGAAGAACAACGGGGGGCTTCACAATTTCAACCAGGCCTCGCCGCACGGCTCGACGTGGCTCTTGCCCTCTCCTCGCTTAGGGATGACGGAGCGGTGGCCAGGTAGTACCTCTTACAGGCTGCTACGAGAGGTAGAGCATGGACCTCGGGAGGCTGTATGCACGTACACGGTAACCCCAATAGACACATACCCGTCTCCTATGAGTATCTTAGGTACCTTAGAGGTCCCATTCCCTGCCTTGCCTGCCTGCCTGCCCAAGGTATGCATCTACCGAATGTCTCGCCATTGCGTCTCTCGCTATTGCGTCTTGCGATTGCCCGCAGGTCATAGGTCCAGATGCCCAGGTGGGGGCCGGATAGGCAAAGCTGCCTGCCTATGTACCTGGCCGTTGGTAAGACGGGGCCAGGTACTTTCTGAAACCCAGAAGCTTTCGAGAACAAGAATACAACGGAACACTGCCAATTGGGCCGGGACCTGCAGTAGCGGGGGCAATATCGACGGGGAAGCTGGAAAGGGACATTGCCTTGTACCTTTCGGGGCTGGCCTGGGGTCCTCGCCCGTACCTTATCGGCCCACCAGCCGGCCAAGGCTGGTACCTGGTGGTTAGCGGTACCTGTCCAAGCTCGTCCGTCGGCTCTTCCGCCAACGTCCACTAGCCCTGCTCGAAGTACAGTCCCTCGCTAGCACCCGAGGAGGTACCTACCTACCTACTTTACCTTCTACATCTGTACTCATACATTATGCTGCCAGAGGTTAGGTACCTCAGGTATACCTAGAGGCCGGCGTTGGAGGTATCTGTGTTGGTGCAAATCCAACCTTGCCGCCGGCATACCTGCCGTGAACGCTACGTACCTACCTTAGGTGCACACAGTCCTGCTCGGTCCTCGTCCACCGCATTTCCAATTACCTAATCCCTTGTGTATGTGTGCCTGGATCTGTCCAGACGGTGTACGCTGCAATTCGTACTACTGGCTAGGTAGGCTCTATATTGGAATTCGTACGGGGGGCAATAAATAGCTGGTATGTGCGCCGGCCAGGTGAGGGGATCCACGGTGTATATGAGCACAGTATCGCAAGTTGGGGCCGTCCTCCTTACGACACGGAGTGAACGCATTGGCAGCGGCAGATGGGTCAGGCTCTTCCCGTCAGTCGGACACAATGCATGCGTGTGTACATGTTGCTTTGACGAGTGCTACGCTTGGAAATGTCGAGGCCCGTTTCCGAAGAGCGTGCTGGGGAAGGCGGTTTGGCTTGCCCGCTCGCTCGCTTGGTTGCTTGCTTGATGCCCGCCGCCGTGCGCAGCATCTTGCCGCGGGTTCCTGATCTGTTGCGGATCGCTTCATGTCGGACAACACGGCAGAGGGCGATTCGAAACAGCATATCAGACGCTTATCTGGGAGCCTCTCCTCGACCGGGCTTTGCCAGGGGACTTGCTGATGTGCGGCGATCGGATGTTTGAAGACTCAGGTCCTCAATGCCACCGCTGGCGTCCCGCGGCCATTTCCTTGCAGACGGTGTGTCGTAGGCCTGGGCGAGAAACAAATTGGCCTGGGGTGGCCGGCACAGTGGCTAGGGAGGGCCTGTGGTACCCGACGACTTCGTCCCACACGCGCATGGGTGATGGTATTAGAGCCCATTGGTCGAAAATAGGCCGGCGCAGAGGCCAAGAGGCTTGAGAGAAACCGTCGAGATCTTCCAGAATCACACCTGCGACAGGACGGTGCAAGGCTCCTTGTTCGAGGCCAATCCGAATATGCTTCGCACCTCGCGCTGGCCTGCACGTAGTAGAGGTGTGCCTAGAAGATCTGGGGGGGGTCCTCGGCATCGCATTATCACATGGGAACCCTTCTCTCCTCGCGTAGGATTCATGGTGTGGTCGACAGACTATTTCGCAAATCTGGGGGAATAGCTTGGATAGAGTCGCGCTGTTCCTCTTTCGGTCCTTGTCCCCGACTTATCAATTCCACCACGGGTGCGGAAGACGGGTCCTTCTCTAAGCGGGCCGTGAAGCACTCAAGGGTTCGCGGCCTTCCTACGAGCGAAAGCCAAGAACCGCGAGGGGATCGAAAATGGCCTTCGCTACACATTCGCCCATGTATTATATATCGAGTTAGATAGATGGCGATAAGTATAGATATATCGACATGCCGAGTACATATGTGTGCAGGTATGTCAGACAGGTTAGGTTAGGAGTTGCACGCGACTGGAGACGGATATGCCTGTCACTGCTACATAACGTGCAGGGGTTGATAATTGAAGGCCTGAACGGTGACGGTACGTATCTGCATGCCTGGAAAAGCCCCGGCCGCCTGGGTCCGACAGGTATACATACATTCCAGAGAAGAAATCTCCGGGATGCTGGCAAAGTGGAACACCTGTACTGCTTGGGGCGGCCGTCGGCGCGCTAGGTCTCCCAACCCTGATAACACGATTTCCCAGAACTCGAGACCTCGCATGACATCGATACACAAGTTCGTGACGGCATTCTGCCATCGTATGTTTCAGGGCTCTGGCAGAAGGGCGACAGATGTCGCAATCGGGTTTCCGACTTCGGGTCTCACCAGTCGACGTACGGGATGCTTCACCCGCAAAAAGAAGACAGGCCCTCGGACAAACCCTTCGGCGATTCGGTCGTCGTCTCCTCTACGTATTATGTAGGTACGTGTATGTAACGTAATGCAGGCAAGTCGTAGATAGTCACGCTGAGGGGGGGGGAATAACTTCACTAAATTCCCTCATTCCAGATCTTCTCCCTGGCTGAGAACTTCAGGATAGCACGGGCCAATATAATCAACCCGTCACTTATCAAGTACCACAAGCGGCCTTCCGAGCCGGTCGTGGCGGTTTTGCTGGCCAGGTGGTGTTCTGGACCGATTCCGCGTTGTGGATTGAGTCATCTCTTAGAGCCTCTCTCCACTGCCTAGTTTGTAATACACCTACAAACACAGACCCCAAATCCGGCTTGTCGATAAGTCCCAGGTGTTGAGTCTCATTGCTACCGAGGACCGCACTATTGTATTGCAACCCGGTTGTAGTGGTATATTAGGTAACGGAAGCGAGTGTTTCGCGTACTACTCGCTTCGCTAGGTAAGGTTAGGTTAGAGCAGGTTGCTACCTCAGGTATGCGCTATCCGCTGTCCGTATTGCCACGCTCAACTAACTTGGCCCGATGGGCCTACGCAGTGTATACAGATAACATAGAGAGTTGTAAAGACCATTAGTAAAGAAATAGGGAGCCAAACACTCGTGGGTCGTAAAGAGAGGCAGATGGTTTGTCCCATCCTACCTCGTATGTCTACGCGTATGTCTACTGAGGCGGTTAGACTTGCTGGTAATCATTTGAAGTCTTTTATCTCTGTCGCGGTGCCGTCGTGTCTCCCGTCTTGACATTATTCCTTTAGTTGCTGATAGCTAGCTACGTCTACTTACTTACTAAAGTCCCAAAATACATGCGTGACCGAATACCGACATACGGACATATGGGCGCACTCGGGCCTTACTATGTGCAGTAATAATGTGCCGCCTCTGCATTGTTCCTGCAGGACGAATGCTGCAGGCACAGCTATTGTCATGCAAGGTACGAGACGACGACAAGGCCGAGGAGAGACGGGTGGTTGTGGAGAAGTGCCCGATGTACTTCCCATCCGACAGTACATCTCATCTCTTCATACGTGCTCTTCTGCGTCTGCCTCGATATCTCTTTCTTTCCTTCTCCATAGCCAGGCTACCCTGACATCTCTCATTTTCCAGCACTGTGGGAGCCGGGTGTTAAGTCGCATAATAAGAGGCAAATTGGCTAGATGGCCCCTCGTCTAGGGAGGGGTTCTGTCGAGCCGGAAGGCTTCCACGGAACAGCGTATGGATGGATACCTTGCATGTTGCGAGTTCCAGAGAACGCCCGGGCGCTTTTAGCGGTGGACTGATTGTCTGGGCCACGATAAACTTCCTGATTTGGGAGACTCGCCCGATAGATGCCATCTCCACCGCTTCTTCTAGTACGACACCATGAACTTGCCTACCTGACCTAGCCTACATAATCTAGGTATACATGCTACATAACGTGCGCATCGGGGTGGTATTGTTCACACACTACGTACATTAGCACTGTCGAGATCGCCCACAATAATGCACATGTGCTCGCACATGTGTGCCTGAGTGTATGCAATGTATAAGCAATGCCAATGCACACTGGTATGCACGGCAAAATAATGAAACGAACGATGGATTCACAAATGGCACACCACCGGCATAGCTACGCTACGGTGCCCCAAGCCCAAGACATCACACGCCTACGTGCGTCGAGGGAGACGACAAGGTATGTTACAGGCAGGCAAGTAGGCATGTATGTATGGGTATGTACATGCACACGTATGTACATACCTACCTCTACTTACCATACACACCTGTAGGGGAACCGTAAGGGTTCCGCATTTTGGAGAGATGCTGGCAGAGAGTCCTACGTGTAGGTTACTGTATCGCATAGGTTGGGTGTGTGCAGTTAGTTGCCTAGTACACATGCATGCGAAGACAACCTAGGCTCTATACAGCCAGCCCATCGACCAAGTGGGAAAGTGGTGGTCCGATAAGTGAACTGCATCACGAATATAGACGGCATGTAGTGCAAATTTTCACCGGGCAAACGTCCACCAGTACGCCAGAATACCTCCTAATCGGTTCGGGTTGAGCAACAGGACTCGTCCTGCATGACAGCGGCGGAGGTGGTGGCAGCAAAGAGGAAGCGGCCTGGGTCCAGAACGGCATCGGCGGAGATGAGAATGGGAATGGCGGCAATGACACAAACCTACCAAGAAAAGCCCAGCCCGTTATAGACCTGACAAAGGAAGAAGATGATGGATGGTGACAGACAGACAGACAAGATAGACGCAGAGAGACAGGTGAGGATACGACCTGTGGAAAAGAGAAGGTGACCGAACTGGCCTGGCTGGGCCGGAAGGATGATAGGAAGGAAGGAAGACAGATGCATTACGGAGGAAAGCTGAGATCGATGGTATGTACACGTGCGGTACACATGGTAATGACCTAGGTAGAGAGGTAGGAGGTAATAGGTAGTTGTCAACTCTCTCCAACGGTTCCGGGACCCGATGGGATGCAGGGTGCGTGCTATGGTAAGAAGATCTAGGAGCGCAAAAAAAAAAGCAGGATCCTACGGAGATGTTGGTTGTTGTCGTGGCCCTTCGGATCCCTATGAGCATCGTATTCCCTCTCTCGTTTTTTTCTTTCTCTTTTTTTTTTTTCCGCCACGAATCGTCTCTTGCCTACTTTGCCTGATGACGAGTCAGCAAGCCCGTTACGGATAGGAGGGTATGTGTAGGCGGGCTAGCTCCATGTATGAGCGATCCTGGAGGCATCTTGCTTTTCTTCTGCAAGCAAAAAAAAAAGAAGCTTATTTTTATTTTTATTCCCTTACTGCTCCCATCCACTATTCCCACCTTTTCCCGCGCTCTCTCCGGGCTGACCACCCCATGTGGCGCTTGTGGTGTATACTTATTTGAACTCATCGCATATTCCTATTCCCTTCCGGTTCCAACCCCAACACGGGTTTCAACCAACCTGGCTGTCAGCTACATTCGGCACGATGGGACGGTGACGGTATTATTATGCTGTGAATTCAGTTGTGTGGTAGTTGGAAAGGATTGCTGCAGGGCGTGCTTCCAGCGCCATGGTGTGCGAAAAGTGACCCATCGGATTCTCGATCACATTCGCCGATGCTGGGTCTAAAGCTGCTATCACCCTCGCTCTGCCTACTACGCCACGTCTTGCTATGTTGACCAGGTAAAACCCATCACCTACATAATTCGAATCGCCGTCTACTCGTCGTGGTTGGGCACGGGGAGGTCAGCCTACCACAACAGCGGCGCGCTGTTGTCGCGGGCACACTCGGCGGGGAGAATCCAACCAACCCCGTTCCCCAATTCCTGTGACGACGGCGAGAGCAGCCGCAAAGTGCATCTTCCCAAACAGAGGGCCGCGTCATGATTTGACCACGGCCGTGACATCAGCGATCATCGTGGCATCAGCGTCTCCGGGCTCTCCTGTATGGATAATTGAGCTACGGTTGCATCTGGGCGCGACTAGTATTATAGAGTGCTTGCATCCCAGGAACGCGCGCGTCTTGGAGGATTTGCCCGTCCAGTCACATCCCACCTCGAGCCGATCCTCTGTTTCCAATACCAATCGATGCAACCGGATTTTAACAGATATATTGCGAGACTCTTCCTCATCACGAGCCAATCTGTGCTCACATCTGCCAATGCGAGGCCAGCTTAGGCAAAACACTGCTGCCATTGGCCTCCGCCTGCTGAGACTAACACGGTGCATCGCACACACCAACTTTGGGATTGGCACACGCGCATAGCCAATTAACGCGGGGGGGTTATCGTTGTATTGCCCGTGTGGATGGCGGGTTAGCTCACTGCATATCCACTGGGCTCTCTCACCCGAATGCCCTCCCTTCCCCCCCCCCCGTTCTTCTCCTTCATCCGCGAGCCTAGATACATGTAATACTAGGTGGCCATCGGCAGTTTGGGCGCGCCTGACCCGAGCCACGGAAGTGCGTATGCTGTGCGTGCTTTTTATAGCCCTCTCCGTGGGAAAGGAGGAAGAAACAGATTGCGAGAGAGAGAGAGAGAGAGAGAGGAAGAAAAGAGGGGGTTTACTATATGGGACCGGTGCGGATGATTCTGACGATCAATAATATCGTAGCGGCGCCGTAAGAAAAGATGGATCGTCATCTCTGCACACGAAGTTTCGTCGGCTCGCCCGCGCCTGATTCCTCTCGAACAAGAACGAGGAAGACGCATGATCTCATCACATCCTCCAATTCCCCGCGGGTACTGTCGAATACGGCAGCCAGACCGCTGAGCCGTCGGTGTATTGGCTATCAGACTCGACTCCGGCAATCCAATGACGGGGCTTGGAAGGCCGCCCAGCACGCTTCATTACCGCGAGCGAGGGCAGACAGAGCCCTTCTCTCGCGAAGGCGCTGAGGAATGACGAATGTGATCCGCCGGGCGACGCTTGGCCTGCCCGTACCTGCATTGTATTGCCTTGTTCTACTGGACGGCACACACACACATATTGGGGCTGGCCACAGGACGGAGCGCGAGAGGACTCCGCGTCGCGCGAGGGCTGGACGGCGTCCAGCGACTGGCTGTGGCCATGTTGCAGCCGCCTACACCCACCGTCGTCGGCGCGCGCGGTGAGAGGTTGCCTCTGGCAAGAAATGGGCGAATTATGCAAATTGTGTGGCTACCCTCTGGCGGTCAAATCCGCCTATCACGGCCGCCAGTTCGCGCATGGCACCCATTATTTGTGCACTGCGACGCAAAGGTATGCATGTTCCAGCGGTCCAAGAGAAAAGCCTGAAAATGAACCGCGACTTGTGCAGACGCCCACCCATCCCGTAAACAGGCTCGAGAGCCACGGGGGGAAATGCCGTCGCGGCCTGTGATGTAGGTACCACCGCGTGCTCTGTTATGGTATGTACGTATGCCAGGTACGCGCACGAGATGGTCGCTCGCTCGCTCGCTGGCCCTGCTTGCGCGCACCCTTGTGCAGGTTATGCCAGTCGTCGCATTGCACGGTGGTGTTGCGGGCGATGGCATTGGACTTGTTCGAACAACTTGCGGCTTGGCGCGCACATGGAGGAAGACCCCGTCTTCGCCGCCGGCTGGATAGGATTCCATTACGGGCATATGTCCAGGTACTTGGGCGTACCTACCTAGGGGGGCAGGTAAGTTGCCCGGAGGCGCCCTGGGCAGGCCCCTAACCCGCGAGGTGCTAGGTGCTAGGTCCTAGTACCTACCTACTTAGGTATCGAAGAGGGTACCTAACATACAGTAAAGCCAACTGCCATCATGTAGAGGTAGTCAAACCGTCTGCGACGTAGAGTGTGTAGGTACCTAATGTATAGTACACGCATACCCCCCGCCTAGGTACCTAGAGTTGCCTGGCACTGCCGGCATCCACGCAATATAATATAGATTACCAGTCGTTCTCAAAAGAGCAGGCTAGGAGGCAGCACTAACAGAACACACCCCTGTTTAGCTGCCCAATACAGAGCTATCACCTCCGATAACCACCTGGTCTGCAAGAGAGCCCGTATCGTCTCTGAGTGACATAGGCGAGATGCAAGGTGTCGTATGCTCGCGCGCGTACGTACATGTATCTTAGACGAACGGAGTTTTGGAGATAGGTACCTGCGTCGGTACGCCATCGTGCCTGTATTGTACTCACCTTCTCGCGTCCTGATGCGGTTGGGCGGATGTATGCACGCGTTGTACCTACATAGAGTCGGTACGTGACCTTGTGTAGATACTTTAGGTACCTGGACAGGTACCTAATGCACCTAACATGCCTGCGCGGGTCCGTCGGACAAGGTCCACTGCGAAGGGCTTCCCCCCTTTCGTGTCCGCCCCGAGGAGAAATACTGCCTCTTATCCGTTAGGTGCATGGCCGTAGGTAATTACCAGCAGGTAATTACCAGCAGGTGTATGGATCAATAAACCAATGAATAAAACGAATCATACCGACGACGGCGACGGCAACGAATAACAGACACGAGTAGGCGAAGAAGACAGGACCCGGCCTTGATCCCTCGCCCGGAGAGCCAGAGCGACAAGCCAGACACACACACACATAGAGAGAGAGAGGAGACGAGACGAGACAGACGATGTACCCGTCATTCCGCGGTACTTGGACTCCTCCTCCGCTCGCTATCCAGATTTAGCATCGCTCGGTGGCTGCGCCCACCTAGTCCACCTTGGTACCGGTCGACACAACCCACTCATCTCATGTTTCCGTTTTGCCCCAGACATGCAGTAGACAAGGTTGGGTCGGTGTCCAGTCGACCCAGGTCGACCAGGACCATCTTTAGCCCCCCTGTCAGCTTTCCCCAAGTGAGACATGCAGTGGATGGAATGGGTCCATCCCAACCCGCAGGTCCCTCTGCCTATCGAGACAGGCCCTTTCTATCTGGTAGTTGAAATCTGGGCGGGCTTGGACTATTTTACATTATCCTCTCGAGGTTCCCCTCGACTACGCTCGTTAATATCTTGCCTTGTCCGTGATCGACATATCTTGTCGGCTTTGGAAGTGTATTTCTCTTTCTGCTTCATATCACTGTCGGTTCTTGTTTCTTCTGTGACTCGCCTTTTTTGGGATCCGTTCGAAACCGCCTCGAACCTCCTGTCCTTCCTTACCGTGTACACCTCGCACCTGTCTCTCTCTCTCTCTACTACCCCCCCGCCGGTTTCTTGACGATAATATCGAGAGGGAGCTTGAAGTCGAAGCAGGTCCATGTATAACACGATACACCGAGTCACCAGCAACTAGACGGTTCGCAGCAGACACCGCCGTTCATTCTTTTCAGACCAGGAACCGCAACCACCATCATTAGGCCAACCGCCCTCCAACCCATTGTATAGTACACTTAACCGGTATACTTAATATATATAAACCAAAGAGAAGCACGCCAAACACTCGCCTCACTTCAGGGGCCGTCGACACACGGCAACAGAAACAGCAGCAACTATACGACCATATCGAGACTGAGAGTCGGTACTAGGTTAGTTCCGGAACCGGGTTCTGGGGAGGCAGAGGGGGGGGAGCTATCGTCCACGAAGACTAACGGGTTGGTGACGGTCGTCAAGTCGCGACACGATGGATCCAACCATGATAACCTCCCAGATGGGACCGGCGCCGTTCTTCTACTACACGCCAGACCCGAGCGCCGAGAACCGGCACCACGGCCACTTCAGCCAGCAGCCGGGCTTCCAGCAGATACAACCGCAGCAGATCTTCCCTATTGTGCCCACCTTGCCCTCGACGCCCATCTACTCGCGGCCGAATTCGTCCTGCTCGCAGCAGCCGCTGCCCACCAAGATGTACAGCTCCGTGCCCAGCAACCTGACTCCGGCCGCGTCGCCGCAGCCTTCGCACCGGCCCGTCGTCTTCCTCCCGGGCCACCCATCCAAGCTCATGCTGGAGACGGAGCTCTGCGATACCGACGGCTTCTACTACCCGGCCACGCCGCCTCTGTCCGCGCCGGGCAGCTCCATGGGCAGCCCGTGCCACACCGGCGACGTGCTGGCAACCCCATTGAACCCCATGTTCTCCGGATTGGACGGGTGCGAGATGACGAAGCCCGAGGTCGAGGTCGCGCCCGAGAACCTCGACAACATGGAGTGGGGTAGCTGCGGGTCTCCTCCTCTGACGCCTGGTATGTTAGCCATATATATATCCTTCACATGCTGCGATTTGCCGTTCTGGTTGTTTTCTCTCTTTTCGTGCTATTCATTACTGCTCTCTCCTCTCTTTCGTCGGACCCGTGCGTGGCAGCGCTACAAGCCGGGAGTCGAGAAATGCCGCGAAGACGCAATTCTACGGTGCAGAGAGCCTCCACACGGATTCTTTTCCTACTTTGGGGGGTTTATCGTGTGTATTTTTCGCCGGCTTTTCCAGGCGCAATTCGCGTTGCTGGGTACGGTAAAAGGGGTTGGGATGGCAGGACTCGGCTGAGGAGGTTCCTGTCGTGGAAACCCCCCGTGCGAGTTTTTGTTTTGTTTGGCGGGGCATTTTGCTGGATTGACAACGCAAATCCAGTTCAATTCACCGCCTTATCTCTTTTTCTGCCTCCGTTCATTCCAGTAAATTTCGCCTACACTTCGGCATTGGAACATCGCTAACTTCTCCCTCTTCGCCCGCGGTGCAGTCTACTTGCAATCGCAGTCCGGAACGGCTTCGCCCTCTCTCCATTCTAGCATCTCTAGTGATTTCCTGTCCACCGCCTCCTGTCCCTCTCTCTCGCCCTCGCCTCCGCCCTATGCTCGGTCGGTAACGTCAGAGCAAGACATCGACTTCTGTGACCCGCGGAATTTGACAGTTGGCGGTGCATCCAATCCCACCTTGGCGCCTGAGTTTACCGCCCCCGTCGCGCTAGCGGAATTCAGGGGCGACTCGATTCCCAAACAACCCTCGCTCCCTGACACGTTTGATTTCGCTCCTGAGATTCAAGGTCTGCCCGCCTTTGAGGACATCTCCGACCTGGAATCCGAGGACGACTTTGTAAACCGTCTCGTGAACATCGCCGACGTGAAGAGGTCACGCTCCGACACCTGCTCCACGACCCTGTCCCTCGGCAGCGAGTCTTTCCTGGGTGAAGGCGACTTCGACACCGAGGACGGCCTTGCCTACGCCGTCGCAGACCTGGCCAGCGCCGCCAACCCGCTGGATCTTGATTGCCATAAGGACAAGAAATTCAAGAAGTGCAGGAAGGAATCTCGTAAACCTGCGCCCGTCATGAACACCGCCGCCGATTCCCAGCCCGAGCAGGGCGAGTCGCAGCGGCCGTCTCAGAGCGAAGCTCCCGAGAATACGGACGGTGCAGCATCATCTTCTGGGACCAATGCGCAATCTACTCCCCTCCCGGCCCCGCAAAACCGTCGCGGCCGCAAGCAGTCGCTCACCGAAGACCCGAGCAAGACGTTTGTCTGCGAGCTCTGCAACCGCCGCTTCCGCCGCCAGGAGCACCTCAAGCGTCACTACCGCTCGCTGCATACGCAGGAGAAGCCCTTCGAATGCCACGAGTGCGGCAAGAAGTTCTCGCGAAGCGACAATTTGTCCCAGCACGCTAGAACCCACGGCAGCGGCGCGATCGTGATGAATGTCATCGACACTAGCGGGGAGGGTCTCGACATCATGCCTCCTAGCGAGGCCGACTACGCCAACTTTGGCAAGGTGCTCTTCCAGGTCGCCTCCGAGGTTCCCGGTAGCTCCAGCGACATGTCGTCAGACGAATCTCCCAGCGAGAGCCAGGGCAAGAAGAAGCGCAAGCGAGCCGATTAAATGCCGTCTATCGGCCGCGTTCCTCGGGAGGGACTGCGGCCGGAGACACATTTTTTTAAAGATTGCACCGCATAGATTCAAGAGGAAGATCTCCGCGTACGCCTGTTAACGAATAATGAGTTTCATCATACACACTCGATTGGCCCGCGCCTTTTTATACGCGCGCATCGAGCCTAGATGGTCGGAAGAGGACGGTTCGACCAGATACCGGCATCCCCCCTCCCCCTTACACGGGATCCGACGGGCACACGCTCAGAGAGAGGAATCTAAAAGTTGCACTTTGTTTTTTCGGCATCAGCTTAGCTTGTAACACTACCACGGCAGCGAAGACGCCTTCGTCTCCGTCACGACAACCAAAAACAAAAAGCTCACGGGAGCGGTTCGGCAATCCATCAGGGTCACACACACACACACACTCGGTTTTTTTTAGTGGATGAGGCGCGAAATAAGGGTAGGCATTTTGATAGCTTTTTACTTATACACAACGGCTGGAGTTGCCTCGGAGGGCGGCAATGGGTATACATGGCACAATTATTTGGGGTTGTGCTTTATCTTGTTATTTTTTATTTTTTTTTTTCGGTGGCGTATTCTTCTCTACGCTCGTTGTAATCGTTTACAGCAGGCGGCGCGGCGCAGCTGTTGTTAGCTGTAGGACACGTTTTAGTGAGGGAGGGAGCAAGGAACAAGCAAGCGAGCGAGCAGCATCAGGGAGTTCAAAGACGCACATCTCCCCACTGGATGGCCTCTTCGTGTGTCTTAATTTTCTCTGTTTTCCGTCCGCGTTCAGGGTTCGGGCTTCCCCTAGCTCTCTCCCGGTTTGCCGCGGTTGCTCTCCTCGCGGTGCCGGTCACGACAAGGAGCTCTCGGTGCCTCTCTGTAGTAGGATAGGAAATCAATGCCAGCAATGGCAATGCCGCTGCCAAGCACACCAGTCCCCAACTATCGTGATCGTGTTCAACTACCGTAGTTTAGGTGCTTTCGCGTGCCTTGCCCAGCTGCCTACCTACTTATCTCGGTATAGGTAGGTTAATTCCAGTCGTATCTGTATGCTAGAGTGGAATGCATGTATGGCAGTCCGACCCTTAGACACTACCTACCTCTAAGGCTATCTGGATCTATTCACACACTTTAGATGCTAAGTGGAAACTAGAATATAGGTACTCATAGAAGAGGAGGTATCTAGGTGCGTAGTACTTTTACCTCCACGTCCTCAAGGCGAGGAGTACTTGTACCTGCAGACGACTTCAGAGATGTAGCGTATGTGCAGGTAGGTACATACCCCCCATTGAGTGGTAAACCCTCGTATTACCTTAGGCAGTCCGTTCGCTAGAGTATCCCATTAATTTCGATCACTCTACGTAAGTTAAGTACACACGTGCGAGGTATGCAGGTAATGCAGCCAACCTGATGGGACCTTGGACCTCCGCCTAGCCCATTTCAACCTCACATCATCATGCCCAATGCTAACAACCCGCCCTGTCCTGTCTTAGGTCTGCACACGCGACAGGAGGCTTAGGTCTGGATAAGTTCGCGCGAACCTGCCTGACCTACCGAACCGGCGTGCCGAAGGGGGGCATTCGTATTCTTGACGAGCTGAACGACCCGTCCTGTCGGGAAACTTCTGCTGGTCGTTGGAGTACTCGCTATCTGCGGAACCTCAGCCGTCCGTGGTCCCGCCAAGACGACGCCGTCCGAGGAGCTATCATCCGAGCTCGCCTAACTTGCCATCGTCATGGAGATCCTTTTAGGCTATGTCTAGATCGCCTCTGCTACGTAATACGCCAGGAGCCACACCATAGCCGGAACGCTCAAGCACTATTTGAACCGATCTCAAACAACCGCGCACGCGGCGCATCTGCCTCCCGTCAGCTGATACGCCGGGACTAGATAGGGCTTTTAGAAGGAGAGAGCGCCAGTGAATCGGCGTACCAACCATCAGCAGTAACCCGGACCGATTCCGCCTTAGCAGAGAGCCATCGCCCGCCGCTAACCCGGCGAACAAGTCTGGGTTTAATTGCACTCTCTCCATTCTTATCCGAGCTCTTGATGCCATAGTCCAGACCACGTGCCATGGCGGATCATGCCCTCAATGTCGTTGCCCTGATATCGGGCGGCAAGGATAGCTTCTTCTCTCTTCTCCACTGCCTGGTGAACGGGCATAGAGTCGTAGCGTTGGCCAACCTTTGTCCGCCTCCCAGCGCCGTTAGCACGAGAGCTACTACCGCTACTACAAGCAAAGCTGAAGCTGAGAATGAATACGGGACTAAGGCTGACGGCATCGCGACCACTGCTTCTAATCGGATCTCATCGAGCGAGCGATCGACCCCTCCGCGACAACACGGACCATCCCCTAGAACGAGCGCTGAAGATACTGGAGGCCATGAGGGAGATGGAGACGACGGAGCTGAGACCGACTTGAATAGTTTCATGTACCAGACCGTCGGCCATCAGATCATACCCCTTTACGCGCAGGCCACGAGGCTGCCCCTCTTCCGCCAGGCCATTCTCGGCACTGCAGTAGACCATGGAATTAGCTACCAAGGCCCCTCGGATGGTAGCTACCGAAGACAGCAGAGCGGGGCAACGAAAACCACCTGTGAGGAGGATGAAGACGACGAAACTGAGTCGCTAGTCCCGCTTCTGCGCACCGTTCTCAGGACGTACCCAGAAATCAATGCCCTTTGCGCGGGTGCCATTCTATCAACCTACCAGCGGACCCGTATCGAATCTGTCGCGCTACGACTCGGCTTGGTCCCGTTAGCGTACCTATGGCAGTACCCCGAGCTGCCCCCCCCTCGGGGCTCCGTTCCGAGCTCCGCCGCTTCCCGGGCGGGCGCAGGTACGGACGATGCGCAGCTGCTCCGTGACATGGCGGCCGCGGGCCTGGAAGCGCGTGTCGTCAAGGTGGCTAGCGCCGGGCTCGGCGAAGAGTTTCTGTGGGAGAACGTGGCGAGTGATGCCGGGATAGCGCACGCTCAGCGCGGTATGCGGCGCTTCGGCGGAGGCGGCAGGGGCTCGGTGCTCGGCGAGGGCGGCGAGTTCGAGACGCTTGTCGTGGACGGGCCGGCATCACTATTCAAGGCACGAATCGTCGTTGCGGACAGCGCGAAGAAGATAGTGCGTGAGGGCGGTGGAAGTGCCTGGCTGAGTATTCGCAGGGCCGTGGTCGAGACGAAGCCGGATGTCATGCCGAGCTCGGGTGATCTAATTGTCCGCATCCCCGAATTGCTCGATCCGAAATTCGAAGGCATCCTTGAAACTCTGCGTAACCATAGCGAGGAGGGTTTGGAATCAGGGGATGACGACAGGTTGTCGCAGATTGCCCCAGCATCATCAGCGCCACCGAGCCTTTCCACCTTAAAGCAGCGGCAGGTTACGGAGTCTCGCGGTAGCCTGGACTGGTGCTTCGCCGGGAGCAGCCAGAATCACGGGGCACGTTTGGGGGGCGTTGGGGAGCAGACAGCACGGATCGCGGACGATATCCGTCAACGACTGCGTGAGCACAGCCTCCCAGAAACCGCCATCACCAACTCGGTCATCGTACTGCGGCGCATGGCAGACTTCCCGACTGTTAACGGGCTCTACGGTGCGCTGTTCCGGGAGCCGAACCCGCCGGCCCGGGTCACTATCTCGTGTGGAGATCTACTGCTGCCGCGCGACGCGGATATCTCCATCCACCTTACCGTACAACCCGGCTTGGCGGTAAGACCAGGCGACAGGCGAGGCCTTCATGTCCAATCGCGGTCGTATTGGGCTCCGGCCAATATTGGCCCGTACAGCCAAGCCATCACATTCCCGCTGCTGTCCCAGGGCGAGGGCAAGGAAGAGGACCCGGCTCTAGCGGTCTCGATAGCGGGGCAGATTCCCCTCCTGCCCGCTACCATGGCCTTGCCGCAGCCGACGAGTGACAGTGACTCACTGCAGATCGTCCTCGCACTACAGCACCTCTGGCGCATCGGCGCTGAGACGCGCGTACGCTGGTGGAGCAGCGCCGTGGCGTACTTTCCGCGTTCTCGGTCTCCCACCTCAGATGACACGAGACACAAGGCACTCCTCGCCGCGTCCGCATGGAGCGCTGCGAATGCGGCCCCGTCGGTAGAAGACGAGGAAGAACAGGACGGCCCGGACCCGTGGGATCGGAAGTATAACCCGCTGTATATGTCGTTCGGGAACGGGGACAACGATACCGCGACAACGAAGCCGAAACTCCCGGATTGGGAAGTGGTGAGGAAAGCCGATAGTGGAGGTGGCAACGGCGAACAGTCGCAGCGGAGCAAGGACGCGTTGCCGTTCGTCTTCGCCGTCGAGGTTGAGGAACTGCCGCGATCAGCCGGTGTCGAGTGGCACGCCCACCTCGGCTTCGCGAATATAGGTCCGGGATCAGTCAGCTTACGCTCGTCCGCCGCCGGCGATAGGCATGCCGCTTCGGAGAAGCAAGGGCATCATCCTCTAGACTTGCATCACGTCGTCGTCGAAGCCCCCACTGGCGGCGTCTTCGTCCAGACAATCGCGGCCTTCTACCACGCAGGCTCAGCGGCTTCCTCCCCCGACCCATCCGACGCGCCCCTCGACCTGGGAGCCGCCACTAACCGTGCGTCGATAGCGGTGAGGACGTCGTGGGACGAATTGCTGCTTCTGACACGACCGGGAGCCGCCGAGCCCGCGAAACCGAAGCTGACGTACGTCGACCTCGGCTCGGAGCACGACGGCAGTAGAGGCGGCAGTGGCGTGCTAGGATCCGAGGCCGGCGGGACAGCGCTTGTGCCTTGCCGGTCGTTGTGGGATCCTCGCGGACGCCGTCTGGCCATGGTTTCCGTCTTCGAGGCCAGGTTTGCGGCGGCCCAGGAGGCGGAATAGGAGAAAAGAGCTAGGTTGCTTGCGGTAACTGGACAGAGCGACGTAGCCTAATAGATACACAGGTCGTCTGCCATCAATCCCTGCTATCCTTTCATTTTCTTCTCTATGCTCGGCCCGCCTACGAGACGTCCCATCACAGCATCAATAGACATAGACTATCCGTTCACCGCACCGTACACGGCTGCGTCGCCCTACGTATAAGCAGCAACATCGATGCAGCACCAACTCTCACGGCGCCCTACTCAGCCAGGCACGAAGGGGGACACGGAGAGAGAGAAAGAGAGAGAGAGGGAAAGTATTCATCATATGCGCGTATTTCTCTAAGCAACAGTGGTGGTTAGTTTAGTCAATGAGCTCAATCCCGTGTCCCGGTTCCGCGAACAACAAGACTCCCGTCTCCGCCATCGTTACTCCAAATGCTATAGCTCGCCCGCCCGCCCATCCGCAGCTTCGACACGACCTTGTCGAGAAAAGAACACATACACATGCAGAGAGAGGGACGGATGGGTGCGGATGCAGCAGGGCGGCCAGTCCACCGCCTGCCCCGGATTAAGCATGCCGTAGCCCCGCGCGCGCGAGCATATAAAAATGATACCGTTCCGCCGTGTCCCGCCGCCTAATCCAAGCCCCTTCCCTCCCTAGAAACGCTACCCAAGCCAGCGCCCAAGTCCGCAACGCCCGATGAAAGCCACTCCGGGACCCTTCCATGCGTGGGTGGCGAGTTGCACCCGCCGGCGGCGAGGGAGCGAGAGCGAGACTGGCGAAGCAAAAAACAACACAATTTCCCAAAATGTTTCCACGAGACTCCGGAAACGCCGGACGCATGCAAGGGTGGTGGTGATGGTGAGGGTGCGAGGGGGGGGGGGGAAGGCGTTATAAATCCGTGGTCGTTAGAGTCGTCATCGTCAAGAGAGAGAGAAAAAGCTAGCCGGCCGTCAGCCGCTTGAGAGCGAGGCCCGCCTCTCCTACATGGCGGAGACCTTGCGCACGGTGGCGGTAGCGGTGGCGCTGGCGCCGGCGGCCTGGGCGCTGACGCTGCCGACGCGGCCGCTGGTCTTGCGGACGCCGGACGAGTCCTTGGCGCGCGACGAGTCGCCGGCGCGCTTGCTGCCGCGGACCTTGGTCAGCACGCCCGAGGCGCTGGCCGCCCGCGTCGTCGACGCCGCCGCCGCCACGTCCGCCATCACCGTCTTCGGCCGCGTGCGCCCCACGTTCTCCGCGTCGTGCGACGCGTCGTTGTCGATCACCTGGTAGATCGTCGTCGTCGCGCTGTGGCTCACCGCCCGGATCGTGTCCTGCCGGCTCGCCGACCGCGACGCCTTGCGGTGGGCCCGCGTCCGCAGCAGCCATTCCTCCTCCGATTCCGCCTCGTTCGACCGTCTCTGCGCCGAGGTCGTCTCTGCCGCTACCGCTGCCGCCGCCGCCGCCGCCTCCTCGCCACCATGCTGTTCCTCCTCGACCGTCGGCTGGTGGATCCCGTTGCGGTAGTACGGGTGGTGGCGGTCGACCCGGCTCGTCTTCCGCGGCTGGCCCGGCGTGGGCGCAGGGAGATAGTCTTCCTGGACGCCGGCGTTTCGGCGCTCGTCGTCAACCTCGCCGAGCGGGGTGCGGTTAGACGGGCTCCGACTGGGCGGGGTCGAGTTCTGCGCGCTCCGGTGCAGGGACGCCTTCTGCATGGACCGGATCGGCGTCGTGGGCGGCAGGTTGGCAGCCAACTCCTTACGCAGCTTCCTCTCCAGCCTCTCCTCGATCCACCATTCTCGGAAGACGCCCTGGTTGATGTGCAACCAGTGTTGTTGAGGCCCCACGACCATGCCTGGCCGCATGAACCGCATGAAGGAGATGACCTCGTTCGCGGTGAAACCGTGGCGGTAGATCAGGTAGGCTCCGATAAGACACCCCGTCCTCCCGAGGCCGGCTTTGCAGTGCACGGCAATACCCTTCTTCTTAACCGTGATAGTTTCGTGCGCAAGCTTAATGAACTTCTTTACAGTACTCAACGGCGGACAGGTGCCGTCCTCGAAGATCATGTCCAGGTGCTGGATGCCTAAGGCCTCAAAGTAGGATGGCGAATAGAGGGGGGAGTTTAGCCGCACTACCAAGCCGATGTTCCGCTCGGAGAAATGGGCCAGGACATTCTTGAACGATTCCGGAAGGGTTGGGTGGACATCGACAGCGGAGAGCGTCGTTGGCAAGGAAGCATACAGCTCAGAGGATTCTGGTATGCGCGCTGCGGGGCTGTGCTGCGGAGACGCGAACGCGAGAAAATGCGGTGTGATCCAGTTGAAATCGCCCTGCTCGACCCGCTCGAACTTCTCGTACTCATCCAGGTCGAAGTTGTCTAGCACGCAACAGCCCTCCTCCTTGGCCTTCCAAACCCCGTACACCACGTCCTGCACCGTAATGCCGTAATCTGCTTGGCTGTAGCCAGCATCGCGGAAAGGCATCAACGGGGGGTCGACCTGCGCGATGGGCGCGAGGGCTAGATGGGGCGCCCAGGACTGAATCAACACCATGTAGCATGCCAACAAACACGCGGCGTTCGCACGACCTATCCCTGGATGTTAGTAGCCGTGCTAGGTTCGACATGCGTGCGTAACCTACTCCTCGCGTCCGCCCGGCTCCAGAACACAATGGGTCTGTGCTGGTTGTCTTTCGCTCCTAGCACGTCGTGGAAGTATAGAGCGAAGCGGTATAGATGTCCGATGTGAAGCGGGCCGAAGTCGTGATGGAAGGCGTTGTAGAGGAGGCTGTCGTCGACGGTGAAGTAGAAGGGAGGCTGCCGCGCCGACTTGGACGGGACGGGGGCGGGTCCGTCCACCGCTCTTTGGGAGCGCTTCCCCGGCGACCGAGTTGGGCTATCATTGTAGGGGAAGTACGTCTCGGCCGTCGGAGGGACCACGTAGGATGCCAGGTAGAGACGATCTGTAATTGTTAGCAGTGTAACCGGGAGGCTGTCGGGTTCCGGCGGCAGTGAAAATAGGCATTGTAGGGGATTGTAGTAGTACGAGCTAACGCTGTCGTTGTTGCGACCGAAGGCGAGGGGCATCGAGCCATCCCTCTCGCTGTCCGTCATTGGAGCGCGCAACGAAGCCGAGAGGCATAGCAAGACGTGTTTCTTTCTTTTTGGAGGAGGGAACAGGGCAAATATGAATATGGATCCTGCGAGCCCGAGGCGGAGGTGCTCGCAATGGGAGGAGAGGAGAGGATGAGACGATACGGCGAGGAGATAGGACAGATCGAGACGGGGCGAGACGAAGCCAGCAAAAACACACCGGGAATGTACTCTACAATCCGACCTCCGTCGGAATTCCTCGAGGCAGGCGGCATCTCGGCAGGGTTTGACCGCTGCAGCTGCTGGCTCTCCGGTGGCAGGGTGGGATCTGCCCGTCCGAGCGACGGTTGGGCAAGGCCGTCGGAGGATGTGCTCGCGCGAGGAAGCTTCAACAACTAGACATATACCGGGAGCGCGAGTCTAGCTCCGTAGCGGCTTGCCGGCGGAAACGCTGTGCGGTGCGAGAAGGACCAAGGTAATAAAAAAAAAAAGATGCGAAGCGCGGACTCGAGACGATAGCAGCTATAGTAAACAATGCGTGTCGGCGGGACGGCTGAGCAGCATTCGCAGCAGACGCGAGGCAGGACAAGAGAAGAGGCGACGGCAATGTGCGGATGGCGGGCGAGGCGGGCTCGGAGAAGAGAGATGGTGAGAGAAGGGAAAAAGAGGTTGCAGATGGTGCAAAGCTGTAGTGCAAGGGGATGATGTTTTTGTATGGTTTGTGCCGGTATTATTGTTATGTTGGGGTAGGCAGAGGGCGAGGGCGGCCAGGGCCGCAACGGTGGACGCAGGCCCGTGCAGCCAGCACCGCTGTCTCGCTGTGCCATCCGACCCCCTTTGCCGCATCGGGCTAGTCGCCGGCCACATGCCCCTGGCCGTGTTTACCAGCCTCAGACTGGCCAGCGCCCCTTCCGCCGTTGCCCAGCAACCGCGGCCGCCCACAGCCTGCACTAGTAGCGCCATCCTGCTATAGGTACATACAACGTTGCTGTGCGCTTGCCGATGTGCCCACCACCCCATCAACGGCGTCGAGGTACCTATAGGTTATACCACCTGCTTAGGCCCCTCAGGGGTACCTAAGGCATGATGTACCTAGAGTCAGCCAATACAAATCCCACCCGTCATCAGTTGTTGAACAATTGCCCCTCCTCACCTCGACGATAGGACTAATCAACGCTTCCACCCCGCAGATCCGAACCTCAGCTTGTCGCTCATTGCGCAATCGGCATTCCCAATTTCCCCCCCTTCTACCTGTCGGCGCACTCGTCCGCCATTGAGGTCATCGACGAACCCGCCCAAGCAAATCCGTCCTTACCATTGCATCGCAACCCTTCATTGCCCCCCTCACTCGTTTTATCCAAAGACACAACAACAGCCACGGCCACAATGGCAGACACGCAATTCCCCTGTGTATGGTATGTGGCATCCCTTCCCTTGGCCTTCCCTTCTCTCTCCACCACCCCCTCCCTCTCAGTCTCGCTTCATTACCCCCCCTCTCTCAGTCACCCACACCCATCTTCAACCCGGTCCCCGGTCAGGTCTGTCTGTCTGTCATGTGCTAAGCCTCGTCTACCCCTCGCTAGGACCCTCGAGGTACCTTTCCCGACGCCCAGGCTAGCATCCGTCGCCCTCCAGGCCTTGCAAGTCGACAAGGAGCTGTCGCCGTTGGTAACGCGATCCTTCTCCATCGCATCTACTGCGCACGAGGGTGCCGTCGATGGGGACGCCGCCGGGAATATCCTGCGGACCGAGTACAAGGCCACGACCAACAGGATGCTTCGCGTCGCCGTCAACTCCTTCATGGACAGCCTCAATCTCGTCATCGAAGTCATGCAGGAGCTCGACACCGACGTATTAGCCGCCTCTCGGGGAGGCGTCCCGCCGTGAGCGGAAAGGAAACCAGGTGAGGGAGAGCGCCACCATGCTATCACAGAAACCGAACGTCGCAATGCCTAGGGAATCGGGCAGGTAGACTACCTACGCCTTGTCCGGGTGCCAGATGCGAAACCCGAGCCACGCCACTTTGAGCCGGAGCCGAGCTCGGATAACAGGCTCGGTTTGGCGAGAATAGGGCAATGTGAACACCCTCGAACCATTGCTGTGGTTAGCTATTAAACGCGACGTGGGCCGATTTGGCTCAAAAAAAAAAAGAAACGATTCTCTAATTTGCATTCTGTCGGCTAGAGCCATGTATGCTATCTATACCCCGTCATCCATTCCCCTGTCGCCGCTCACCTCGAGAGGTTGTGCCCAGCTTACCCAGCTTACCCAGCTCGTCACTACTTCTTCCACCCCCTGTTCCTCCCCTTCCCACTCCTCGCCCACCGGTTTCCAGAGCAACCCGGCGCCACAACCGAGTCGTCACTTCACTCGATGTCAACCTTATGGATTTGCGTCCACTCCTTCTCCGTCTTAGGCACCGTGACGACCAAGACGCCGTTCTCTAATTTGGCCGTGATGTTGAGGCCGTCAATCTCCTTTTCGTCGTCTCCAGCCGGCGGTAGTTTGATGCTTCTCTCGAACATCCCCACCGTCCTCTCGCTCGAGACCATGGACTGGAGGAACTCCTCGGTGCCGCTGCGATAGATCACGCCAGCGATGTTGACCTTCTCGCCGTCCCAGTTCATGCCGACGTCCTCCTTCGTCGCGCCCGGCAGAGACACGTGCAGGATGTAGGCCGCCTCGGTGTTGAATACGTCGACGGGCGGCGTGAAGGAATCGGCATTCTGCTCATTCGAGCCGCCTGGAGCGCCTGAGGCTCTTGATTGAGCTTGGTCCACAAAGCTCTTGACCGCTTGGGCGAACGGATGGTTGGCGAACGTCTGCATCCACGGCCGCATGTCGAAAGGCGAGTCGAAGCTCGGCGGCTCCGGGTGGGGTCCGCGTCGGCCCCCGCGGTCGCCCCGACCGCCTCGGCCCCGGTGGTGGCCGAACGGATGCGACCAGGGGCCGCCGAAGGGTGGAGGGTGATGATGATTCGGGTCATGGTGCGGAGGAGGAGGCGGTCGGTTGGGGAACGCTCCCGAAAAAGGCGGTGGCGGGGCGTCACCATTTACCGACTCATCGGGCGTAGGTCTCATAGTATCTGGAGAGCTCTCAGTCTCGTCGTCGTCATTTTTGCCCTTCTCCTTATCGGAGGGCTGTGGATCTCTGTCGGGGCGATCGCCATGCCAGCCATGCCACCCGTGATGTCCCCAGCCATAGCCCGTCCACGGGTTGAACTGGGCGCCCTGGAAGGGGAAACCGGGGGGGAAAGGGGGGCCAGCATTGGTATGGTCGACCCCGATACCAGCTCCGGAGGGGTGGTTCGGACCAAACGATTGAGCAGGCCCATTAGGACCAAAGGACTGCGTGAACTCCCAGAAGGGGGGTTGGGGGCGGGTGTTTGCCATATTGAATACCGGCGCGAGCTTGTAGTGTTTCGAGGGAAACTTGCTGTGATCTCTTGAGGAACTTGTGCTTGATGTGACAGAGACCCAGGAGACGGGCTACCCGCAGGGTCTTTATATATGTGTGTGTGTGTCATCGAGCGCGATAGGCCCCGTGGAGTGCGTCACGTAGGTCGGACAAGGCAACCAGCCGACGCGTCTCGAGCGCGGGGCCTACACCCGCCAAACTCCCCAGGCATACATACGTAATGCGTAGTCTCGAACGGGTCAGAACACAGTAGAAATCGTGGGCTGGTCATGTTGCCACGATTGACCGAAGCTGTGAATCCCGGCATTGCCGCGCGTCCCTGTACGCTAACTGGAACGATTTGGGGGGGGGGGGGGGGGGGGGTGGCAAGGTGAACGACGATTGGCGCAACTGAATTATATCCCGAAGACTGGTCCCTTTCTCCCAGTAGGATAGACACTGGGAAGCTATGCGGATGCTATTAGGAGATTGAGGCCGATAGATATCCGACGGACTTATCCTATCCGGAGGATAGTTATAATACGCATAACCCCCTGTTATGCTAATTAATTACGGGGTTAAATACCCCTATAAATACCCCTATAAATACCTCTATAAAGGGATGTCTTTTAAGGGAAACTCTATTTTTACTAGCTAAAAAACGCGTTATAGGTCTTTAAAAATACGTATACCTAATAAAAACGGCGGGATAAATAGAGTTTTTCTTATTTAGTATATCCCTATTACCCCTTAAGATTCCTACGTATATTTATTAACGCGTTTATTTATACGTTTCTATTTTTATTTATATAATTCTTATTCTTTTCCGTATCTTATAATTTATTTTTATAATTTATTTTTAGTTTAATTAAAATAAAGTCGCTTTAAGTTAAAAAATGTCGTATATACGGAAGAATTTAAGTTATCGAGTAATTTATTAATCTACGAAATTACGCTATATCTATAAAAAATTATCTCTCTTGCCGCGAAAATATACGCCGTTTTATTTAGGTTAATATTCTTTATTAATAGTTTATACTTTACCGTTAATTCTATATAAGATTCCCGATCTTATCTTACGCTTAAAACGCTTTAATCGGCTTTACGACTAAATGTTACTTATTATCGATTATATTTTATTATCGCGTAGCTTCGGGTATATAATTTAAGCGTTAAAAAAGTAGCTTTACGCGTAAGTAATATATTACGATAATAAATTCGAAAACGATATAGGATAACCCGACGTAATAACGGTAACCCTTCTCTTATTTCTTTACTTTCTTCGTTAATAATATAATTATAACTAGCGGATTTAACGATAGCGTTAAAACTAGCGCCCCGAGGACGACCTCCTCGAGTACTTACGCGAAAATTAGCTCGTTAAAGCCGACCTTTACGTACGCTTACGTTAGAATAAACGCGAGAGTTAGTTCGTCGAAGCCGACCTTTACGCGTATTTACGTTAGAACTAACGCTAGAGTAAGTATAAGTACGTCGAGGCCGACCTTTACGGCCTCTTACGTTAGAATCTCTTACGCTAAAACTAACGCGAGAATAACCGCGCCTAAGCCGACCTTTTAATTAAACCTTCCCCTTAAATACCGTTCGCTCTTAAGAACTTAGTAGCGTTTTTAATCGTTAAAGTTCGTTTATAATTAAGCCGTTACGGTAGGAAAGAGACCTCGACGTTAACGCGATTAGCGATATCGATTACGCGATTTTAATACGGTTTTAATTAGCGTTAGAATAAGAACGACGTAAATATTATAATCGTTACGGGAAGTATTAATTTAATATAGATTTAAATACCGCGGATATTTATAAGCGTTATCGTAATAAAGACTAAAAAAGACGCGTAGATAAACCCTTCTTTTTTAACGTAGGTAATTATCTTAACTTTAATATCCTTTCTTTTTTTAATTTATTATTAGAGTTAATAATAATCGAAAAATTACTTATTACGCGGATTTACGTAGTAATAAATATATTTATAATTCGCGATTAGTAATATAAATATCGCGGCTACGTCGTATACTTTATACGTAACGTTAGTAAAGTATACGATTATCTTTTCCTTTTCCTTTAGTATTTTAATATCGTTTTATTACGCTTACGTAAGCTAACGTAAAATCCTAAGTAAATAACCTAATTTCGAACTAAGTTTAAAATACGCCGGCGCGTTATCGAAATATAGCTTAAGTATTTAAAATATAACTACCCGGGTTATAAAGATTTTAAATAAAATCGCGCCGCGCTAAAAGAACTACCTAACGACGGTAATGTTTTTAAATAGCTTAATATTTAAAACTTCGTCGATAACGGTTAAGCGCTTTAAACTAGCTTAATTACGGAAGGCGACTTAAAAGGATTAAAGGCTTAATACGATAAATTTATTATATTAAACGTTACGTTAAAATAAATTAAAATAAAGCGTTTAAAGTTAAAATTAAAGGAGGCGTTTATTTCTAAAGGTTATTCCGTTAAGCTTATAAGTACTTATTATTTATCTATACTTTTTATTTACTAAACCCTTATTAATAAGTTTATACGTTTAACTACGTTATTTTTACTAGCGTTTCTTACCTTATTTCCGCGTAAAGAAATTAAATTTATATATCTAAAGTAACGTAAGATCGATTTCGACGATTGTCACGTAGCAGTTGAACCAGCCTATATAAGCCTACATACCGCAAAGCGTGAATGTAGGCGTCTACGTTTTACGTAACAACGATTAAGTATAATACGCTATGCGTTAACGCGATAATCGATTCGCGTAATACCTTACTTTCCGCTTTATCGCGCTTAATATACTTATACGTTAATAAGCGATAATAATAAGTAAATATTTCGTAAGAAAAAAAGGCGCCTAATAATAATAAATTACGCGGTAAAATCTCGAGTAAGCGTTAGAAAACCTTAAGAATACCGAGGTTAATACGTTATTAAGGAATATTACGCGCGTTATAATTCATTTAAAGGATACGTAGCCTTTTTAATTTAAACGAAAACGCGAATACGTTACTTTTATTAAGTACCTCGGGGTTCTTAGCGCTTTTCTTACCTTAAGTTTTATTAATCTTTACTAACGGAGCCTTTTTTAATATATACTACGCTTTTAAGAATAACTTTCCTCCTTTAAAATCTAACGTATACGCTTATCCCGCGAGTTATTAAAAACTAATTCCTATATTACCGTATAGCATTTTTACGCTTGGAATTAACTCTTCCGTAATATCGTTTTAGTTAAGAAGTTCGGCTTACGCGATTATTAATATCGATACGAATTTTAAAGACGCGGAAGTACGTATTACTACGGGTTATTTTAATTCGAAGGTAATCCGTTACTTAATATAACCCCTTTCGAATAACGTTAAAATTACGCTCGTATTTAAAGCTATTACGCCTTTACGGTTAACCTAAAGCCGCGCCGGCGCTTAAATTAAAATAAAGGTAATTCGTTCGTACTACGGCCTTTAAACGCGCGGCCGTCGTTTCGTTAGCTCTTTTAGATTATTAATCGTTATTAACGTTATAAATACTCCCCCGTATATTACCTCCGTATTAATAAGCGTAAAGCGCGAGAAGCGGGATAGGGTAATAGCGTTTTACTACCTTTAGAATACCGATTTCTTTTCCCGCGGCCGTACCGCGCCTACGCCGAGATTATTATACGGCCGTATAAAACCTAATAATTATTTAAAGCGTAACGTAATAACGAATAATTAAATTAATATAATCGAATAATTACCTTTACTTAGCTAGCTAATATCGATATTTCGCTTTATATTAGCGTAAAAGCTATTATAAATTACGTAGCGAAGTATTACTTTAAAGCGGAAATTAAAACCGATAGTTATAACGTCCTTACTAAGTAAATCCTCTTAAAGGTCTTTAACGTAAATTCTCTTCTCTTTTTTATATCGAAGTTAATAAATAAATTAATCGGGAAGCGAGATTACTTTACGTAAGAGGTTTATTATATATTATATAGGCTACCTTTATAAGTTAATTCGTATATTATACGTAACGTAGATTATTAGCCCTTAACGGAATAAGACTATAGCCTCGAGCTCGGTTCTAGCGACGTTTCTAACGGGCGTAATGCTTATAAGAAGTATCTCTAACGCGATTTAAAGGTACTAGAGGTTATTAAATTAAGCTTTTTTCGCTTCGTATTAATTTAGAATTTTAATAAGCTATACGCTTACGATTAGCGCCCTTTTTAACGTAACGTAAAAAAGCGTATACTTAATTATTACCTTATTTATCGCGTAAATAAGGGCCTTAGCGAGCTAAAGTCGTTTTACCGCGTTAAATTTATATTAAATTATCCGTATATTAATAAGAACGAGCTACTTTTAATTAACGGTACCTAATTTCTAACGTATATATTAACGTATACGCGATATTAAGTAACTTATTAATACGAGGATAACTATTACGGCGACCTTCCCGGACCCGACGAAGAGGAGTTCGAGCTCCTAGAGGAAAAAGAATAAGCTTTAAACGAAAAGGACTAGGTTAAATTAACGCGTCTATTCCCGAATTAAATACTTACGTAGGAAATATTTAACGTACTTAGGAATAGAAATATCGACGTAAACTACGATTAGGTTATATACGTAACCCGATATAAGTATCCTTACTTTTACGATTCTACTTATTAACGCGAAATAATAAGTATTACGGATACGCCGGAATAGGAAATCGTTTCCTTAGATATCCGTAATACGTTAAATCCGGAATAAAGGCTAATTTACGATACCGTTCTCGGCTACGTATAAAGTCGTAATTAAGACTAGCTTTTATTTTAAATCGACGGTAGTAGCGGTATTAAAAAATCGTATCTAATTAAGATTTTAACCTCTTACGTTCGCTAGGCTTTTACTTAAGACTCGGTAGCTCTTATTACCTTAATTAGCGCTACGAATAATAATATTCGCGGAAGAACGATATATTCTTTTCTTCGTTTATTCGTAAAGCGTAGCTTTAAACCGCTTTTTAATAACGTTTTTGCTAAGGTATAACGACGCCTTGCTAACCTTCGCTATTTAATTATCGACGAAAAGAATATATTAAAGCTACGTATACTTAGGTTTATTAACCGCCGTTTACGGTAGATATTCCCGCGTAACTCGCGGG